AAGAGGACACCAAGTCACCCCTCTACCGTACAAAATCATTGGAAGATACTCCAACCTTGTGCACCAAGGAAGGAAGATTAGTCAACGAATCAGAGAAGATTAAACTTCTCGTAAACTGTTTTCGCAAGTCAGTCTTGTATGTTAAGAAGCAACGTCGAATAGTCACAAGGAACAGGATCATCGTGCTGGATACAGATAGGAGGATAGAGAAAGTAGGAGAAGGGTGTAGTGAGATATGACGAATTTATATTGACACAAATGAAGAAGATACGTATACATACAATCATACTTCCGGATCGAACAATTTGTCCAGACCTGCTTCTACTGCGGAAATTTTGTTTAAAAGGATTTTGATAGCTTCTGGTACTAAATCTTCAGGTTTGTATTGACCAACCGATTCGATATTGACTGGTATTTAGCGATTATGGCATTTTGCTGTGGATTTTTGATGTCGACAAGCCCATGTTCCATTGAGCCTGACATGACCAAGTAAAATCTCTTCATGGATACATGAACAGATTCTGAGATGGGAGAAAGGTATATTAGATTTTGTGCTTTGTGAAAAGGATGAATGGTTCAGTGAGATATGGTCAGTATATTGGCGGAAGGTGGAAAGGAAAAACAACAACCACGAAACTTGAGTATAATGTGATAAACGATGGAGTGAAGCCTAAGGCCGAGGGTGACAAGAATAAGGATGAAAAAGGAAAAGTATGATCTCCCACTCACATATGAAATGATCCCGTATTCTAGTCAATTGAACTTTATCTTCGAATTCCGCATGTCTTAAAACCTCCCTTGAGACTGTATCCCTTCTAGAGTTTTTCACTACGCATTGTGGTTGTCCTCGTTTATCTTTTTCTATACCGATGACACCTGGGGGAAAACTTTGAACGAATTTTTGTTGGTGCTCTACTGGAATGGGTGAACGAATGATTATGTGTGGTAAGAGACGATATGATGCAGTAGCTACTGGAGAGAATTTGGCGTGATCGGCTCCTGTACCTTTTCTAGCGAAACATGTTAGGTCGATTAACTGATGTCAGCGATAACTCTTCGTCGGTGTTGCATTACGATTATACAAGTATTATTGAGGGGTATACGTGGAGGTTATGAAGAAGAGTGGGATTGAGAGTGGGTCTTACAGAGATATTGTCGATCGTGGAAGAGATAGGAAATAACTGCAGGAACAGAAACATGGATGCAGGGGTCGACTGGAAGAGGAAGTAAAGTGAGTGAGGTGGAAAGAGGCAGGAGAGATCAGCGGGGAGACGTCCAACAACCATGAGAATATGATTCGAGGTGATGAGAAACAAAGATAGTGTGTATTGAGATCCATCATGATTGAAAGAAGGACAGAATGAATGTTGACGGTGAAGAGGGAAGGTTCAAATGATCTACTTCACTCACCTGCCCAGGTCTCAACTTGCATAACAAAATATCAGGATCAACAGGTTTAGGTTCTTTCCTTTTCCATTTCGTTTTCTGTGCTCCTGCAGGTTCCCATTCCAACATACCCGTATAAACATCTGAATCCCAATATTTCCTCTTCGGATCCGTTTCACCTTGAGTCCCAGGTTGTCTATCGCATTTCACACGAAGTTGAAACACGACAGTATCTGTATCCAGAGCTCCAGCATTAGGATTTGCTCGAAAGATCATTTCCCTTGGATCAATTCTCAAAGGTACTAAACCTAATCTATGACATAAAACTTCGTCTTGCATTATAGAGGTGTTGTTCCATACGTAAACATCTTCGATAGCCACTGTGGGTACTTCTGCGATGAGGACACGACGGAGTGCGTTGGCTATTGATGCGTCTACGCCTACGAGGTCGAATTCGAGTGTGGAGGGAGTGAGACGTTGGAGGGAGACTATGAGGTTCTGGGGGTAAGTATGTTGTTGACTTGGTCTTATCATGCCTCGATGATTGGACGAGCTGCGAGCAAGGAGGGGTGTTATGATGGAGCCCCGATGAAGTGTCAGTTACAGTATGAAGGAATGGAAGGTGAGAATATAAGAGAGACAGAGAGATAATGTAAGCAAGAATGATAGGTTATGGAAGGGAGGGAGGAATGAGAATAGATAGAGGGGAAAAATGGTGAAGGACAAACCTCTTTGAATCGCTTCAAATTCCAAGAATGATCTTCTCCTGGATAATGACCTGGGAAATCGTTACCTGAGACATTCCCAACTCTCTCCGGTAATATCTGAACGTGTCTTCTTGGATCGTCGTTGGACCTGGGTGGCATGTTGATGCTACCGAGCAGATGCTAGAGTAGAAGACGCTGATGTAGATGCAATCAGTTGAACTTTTTTGACTTTTGAGATGAAAGTGGGGGGATCATTTAAATGTGGGTTTGTCACTGAGATGACGCGACTGGCTTGTTTTCGCCACTCAAAATATCCATCTTCCCCTTCTGCATCTCTACTTCTCCACTATTCTTACCCTTATACATAAGCTATCTCCCAACGGCCCTCCCTCGTCCTAATCTAGTCATGCTAAAACGTCTACCATCAAACCAAAACACAAGCGAGCAGATCACTTCCGCTACTTCTGGAGGTTTCGGATTACCTTCTTTCAAACCTTTCCGTCCTCCTTCCGCCCTCGTCTCAAAGAGAATCTCTGCTATCCCATCTAGAAAACGAAAAAACGTATCGTACAAAGGTCAAGATGGAGCTAGTGACGGAGAGAGTGATACAGAGGGTAAAGAGAATAAGAAGAGTAAATATGCCATGGGGAATAAAGAGTATGGTGAGGATGGAGTGTTGGGAGGTATGGGAAAATTGTGTAATCGAAAATTCCCAGTGTTCAAGACCAAGGAGAAGACAACTGTCTTCTCAAGGACGTGAGTCTCTTGCCTTCCTCTCTCCCCTTCCTTGGCTGGAAAATTTGTGGACTATATGAATACACAATCTGACAAATATAGCTTCTCCATACCCATCATGACAAACCCTAAAACCTCTCAAGCAATAGTTCATCCCTTATCCAACGCCGCTTTGGGAGCTCGGTTACAACCTATCATGCCTCCTAAACCACTACACGACCCAATGGCAGACCACGCTATCGTCTTATACGACCCCACGATTGACGATCGACCGGGTCCATCGGAGATCGGAGCTTTGAAAAGTGATGAGGAGAAAGCGAGGTTACAAGCTCAGGCTAGTGGACCACATAAGAGTTTGAGAGTCATTTTGGGAATACAAGATCCTAAGAAAAAGTCAGAAGTCAAAGTTCCAGTGGTGATAGATCCTGCATTATCAAAGATTTTAAGACCACATCAGATCGAAGGTGTTAAAGTGAGTGTTTCCCACATCGTTCTTTTCAATCCCATCCATTCAATTATCTCACCTCAGATTGGGATTGATGGATGGTATCTAGAGCTCATCTCAGTTTCTCTACAGATGTACAACTGGTCTTATGGCTGAAGGTGCTTGGGGATGTATCATGGCCGATGAAATGGGTCTAGGAAAGACATTACAATGTATAGCACTCATGTGGACTTTATTGAAACAATCCCCAACATCAGGTAAGGGAACATGCGAAAAGACCATTGTGGTTTGTCCTACTTCCTTAGTTGGTAATTGGGCGAATGAACTCAGTGAGACCATCTTCTTTTCAATCAAAGCTCAGTTTAGCTGATCCCAGTCAAATGGTTAGGACCAGGAGCGATCAACCCGTTGGTTTTGGACGGTAAAGGTGGGAAACCTGAAATGATACCCGCTGTTCGGAGATGGATTCAGGCGACAGGTAGGGGTGTCACTCAACCGGGTAAGTGTTTCAGTCAACCTTTCACCACTCATCTTTCATGATGGTAATGTGTGTGGATAGGAAGACTTGGGATGTGCGTCTTCAAGTATGGTCTGGGTGTTGATGAACAGTCTTGATTGCTTCGTATGAGAACTTGAGGACCTTGCAAGAGGAATTCGGTAATGCTCCGATTGGGTTGTTATTAGCGGACGAGGGGCATAGATTGAAAAATGCCGGTGGGTATTATCAGTCTTCACACTTTTCTCCACATATTCTAGCTCCCGACCTCTCATTTTCATTTCTGACACTAGGATCCTTTCACAACCCTTTCATGTTCCTTGAACCGTTCGCCGCACGATACACGCCCCTACGTCATTACTTGCAAAAGAATGCATCTTCCCGTGACCTGTGTGTGGAAGCCGTTCTCATATGGTCGCCAGTGGTTGTGACATCGAAAGGTAGGCGTAATGATGACTAACCTTCAGACACTCTCACTTTCCAAGCCCTCACTCAACTAAACGTCCAACGTCGAGTCATCTTGACAGGTACACCTATCCAAAACGACCTCTCTGAATATTTCGCCTTACTCAACTTTGCGAATCCTGAATATCTCGGTTCCCGGCTTGATTTCAAGAAAAACTTCGAAGCTAAGATCTTGCGCGGGAGAGATGCGGATGCGTCAGAGAAAGAGAGGGAAGAATGTGATGCAAAATTGAAAGAGTTAGGAGGGTTGGTAAGTAAGTTTATCATAAGAAGGACGAATGATTTATTGTCAAAATATTGTTAGTGACTTTTCTCATAAATAAACCAGTATTCTTCTTCCTCCATCCCCACCTCATATCTGAATCATTCTCCACCCCTTCTTCTCCCATACATATATCGGATACCCATTCCGGTCGAGGAAGAGGTCTCTCCCCTTCTTACCTTCCTAGCAACAAGCGAGAGAACATCCCGAATGTCTGATGATGTTAACCATCATGGTGAAGGGAAGAAAACCCGCTTATGAGATAGTACCTGTAAAATACGAGCACGTAGTTTTCTGTCGACCTTCCAAACTACAAGTCGATCTCTACAACCTTTTCGTAACTTCCAAAGATGTCCAACGATTACTCAGGGGAAAAGATTCTCAACCACTCAAAGCCATTGGATTATTGAGGAAATTGGTCAATCATCCTGATCTCTTACGACTTCCAGAGGATTTACCAGGTAGTGAGAAATTCCTTCCAGAAGGTTATGGGAAAGTTGGGAGGGAAAGAGGTGTAAATTGTGAATTATCGGGAAAGTTTGTGGTTCTTGAGAGGTCAGTATTGATGCCAATTTTTTCTCCTAGCACACCATATTCGAAATCACTGCGGTAAACGCTTTTGATATTTCCGTTCCCCTTCTACACTGTTGCGATCACCTCCTCCCGTCAAGGTCCCGTCTTTTACTTCCAACGCCCGATTCCAAGCGCTCATGCCCGGATGTCCTGATCCCGTCCTTCAGTCCTGCCTGATGTTAACATTCACTCCGACTTGGTAAAACGTCGAACGATGAATGTGGGGAATGTAAAGCTGAAAGATAGGATGTTACATCATATTCACACTCAAACAAATGATAAGATCGTCTTGATTAGTAATACCACCCAGACTCTTGATTTAATGGAAAGATTATGTCGTTTGAAAAAGTGAGTTTAGACGAATTCTTTCATTTCTCCCCGCCGTCGTCTTTACTACTTTGTATCATAACATCTCTCGAATTACCAAGTACTATTTTGAGAAGAATCACAATGACATACTAATCCCAGATACGGTTGCGTCCGTCTTGACGGAAGTATGAGTGTACCTAAACGTAATAAAACCGTCGAACGATTCAATAATCCTGAGAATAAAGAATTCGTTTTTCTTCTCAGTTCAAAAGCTGGTGGATGTGGGATAAATTTGATCGGTGCGAATCGATTGATATTGTTTGATCCGGATTGGAATCCAGCTAGTGATCAACAAGCTTTAGCTAGAGTTTGGCGTGATGGTCAGAAGAAAGAATGTGAGTCGAGTTTTTTCTTTCTATTTCCTTATGGTACTCTTTCCTCGTCGTTCTCTTTCCTTATGGTTCGCTTTCCTCATGGTCCTCTTTCCTTATGGTTCTCTTTCCTTATGGTACTCGTTCCTTCTTTCCTTCTTCCTTATGGCACTCTTTCACATCCCCTGCTTCCCAATCACACAAAGTATCAGACCATTTCTCCGAGCCGAAGACCAAACAATCTGATATCTATCTAACTCTCAGGTTTCGTATATCGATTCCAAACAACAGGTACGATAGAAGAGAAAATCTTTCAACGTCAATGTCAAAAACAAAACTTATCAGCTTGCGTAGTAGATGAAGCAGAAGATACGGCAAGACATTTCACAGCAGATGATTTAAGACAATTATTCAAATTTCATCCTGAAACATTGAGCGATACGCATGATACTTATAAATGTAAACGATGTCAAGGTTCGAAACAAAATGTTAAAAGTAAAGTTTTGTTATATGGTGATTCTAGTACTTGGAATCATTTAAGGAATGAAGATTTAGATAATGTACATGATGATTTGTTGAGAAGTGAGAAAGGTAAGAACGAAGTTAGTTATGTTTTTCAATATATTTCTCATTGATTGTTGGGTATATATGAAGTGTTGAATGACATTATGTATTCCTATAACAAATTTGTTTTCGGAACGTATTCATCTATTTGACACTAGAGACATTATAGAAATTATATTGTAAAGGAAGGTACTTGGTAATTTTAGCTTACGAGTGTTGGCCAACCTGTCAAATTGACAGGCCCGTCTCTCGTCTATTTGACATTATTCGTTACTGCATGTTATAAAATCGTTCGTTTGACCGAGATGTGGTTTCGGCTCGGACACATACCAGTGCCGATAGATTAGGGGTATGTGAAAATGGGTCTTGTAGCTAGGGCAGCGGTAGTCGTTGTTGAAGGTGTAGTGTTAGTATCATTATTAGTATCAGTATTATTAGTAGTAGTAGTAGTAGTAGTAGTAGTAGTATTGGTAGTGGTGGTGGTATGCGCAGAATTACAGTAGTAGCAATAGCAATAGCGATAACGATAGCCAGAATTCCTCGCCAAGAGCCAAGAAGCCAAGAAAACTAAGCGGAAGCAAATGTGACACTGTGGCACTGCGGAAAATCAGGAAGAAATCTTACCCGTTCCTAGTTCCGATAACCCCGCGAAACCCGACTCACTTCCACTCCACCCAGAAAACTCCCCACTGCCACTGAGATTTTGTGCGATCCCTTCCCTACCCTACCCTACTTTACTGCTCTGAGACGACCATCATCATCACCATCATCTCTTTTACTTTCCCACACGAGGTAACCATAACTAACCTCACCATAGAACTACTCTTCCTATCATTCCCTCATTTTCATTCTCTCACTCTTGACCCTTACACTGTACTTGGTTCTTCCCTCGTTTAGATCGGACTTGATAGATCGAGAGAATTCAGAATAGAGAAGATCGACAGATATTCAATTTAAATATTAGATAGATAGTCGACTTAGATCCTAGATAGATAGTCAACTTAGATATTAGATAGAATCAAATATAAATGACCATCATGGTTCAATCTGTCGATACGACCGGAGAGAAAGAAAAGATGGTCGTTTTGAAAGAAGCTGAGGAGAAAGAATTGGTAGATGGACAGCAGTCAGTTGACACTTCTTTTTCTTTCACACTTTGTCTTTCATACTCCACTCTTGGCCTTGGACTTGATCAGTGGGACGTAGTGAAAATGGAGGAATTACTGAGGACAGATTCGTCGTACCCAACTTTACTGTCAAACAATTACTCGATGCTATTCCGTGAGTATCTTCATCTTTCACTCCACAATCATACAATTCTCATACATTTTTACTCCACTGTCACTCTTTCCACACTCTTGTCGACAACTATCGAAGGACCATTCAACTCGTATTCCATCGTACCTCTCAGACGCCGTTTACGAGTGTCGATATACTGTAGTGTCAGGTAAGGAAAGGACAATGCTGGAAAGGACAGTGTAAACATATCCGTGCTTATCATCAGCGCCCATTGCTTTCATCGTTCAGCACTAAGGTCATCTTTATACATCGTTCAGGATTTCACCCTTCTAGCTGGTTTGGTTTATGGAGCTTATCATATCACTCCTACTTTGGATAAACTGTGAGTGATTTATTATTCCCCTCTACTTCCCCGAACCCACTTCCTGCCTCACTCCTCTGGGGGAGATGTCAATATCGCCATTTCATCTGCCCCTTTCACGACCACCACCGCCTCTCTCCCTCACCTCACCTCACCTACTTCTGCGCCCGCGTTGGACTGGTGCTCATCAGTTGGTGTTGATTTCGCACAACTGACCCTTAGTCACCTCTCTCCCGCCACATACTGGACTGCCAAGATTGCCCTCTACGCGATATACCAAGTCCTCGCCGGGCTCGTAGCTACAGGTGTATGGGTCATTGCGTGGGTCCTTCCTTTCCCCCTTCCCTCAGTCGCGCTGCTTCCCCCAAATCCCCCTGCTCGTACTCGCAGCATATGCTCGTGTTAAGCATCCCGATCACGTCAGAAAACCTCCCGAGTTATTGGAAATCGATGCTCACCTCAGTCACGAATGCGGCCACCAGGGTTTCTCTTCCTCGAAACGTATCAACAACTCGGTTGGTTGGGTCCTACATTCAGCCTTGCTGGTACCATACCATTCCTGGCGTATCTCTGTGAGTTTGTCGTAATCTTCACAATTCATCACTGATCAAAAGCATGGTCGTCATCATGCGGGCACCAACCATTTGACCAGAGACGAGGTGCACGTGCCGAAGACTCGTAAACAGCTCAAAGCTCCGGAGATGAAAGAAGAGGCTGAGATTTTGGGCATCAAGTGGGTGCTTTCTTCGTCTTTCCGTCTCGTTGTTGTTCCCTTCGAGCTATGTATCACATGCGTCCCTGGTGCTCCAGCCAACTGTCGTATCCGTTGCACAAGTCCGTCTGTTCTTCTTCTCTCAATTGAAAGCCTCCTCCTGCCATGCTACTGGAAACCTCAGAAAAGCCTGCTCCATGCTGACCCACAGCGTGTCCGCCATGCGCCAGGCCGAACTCCGCGAGGCACTCGAGGAATCTCCATTGGCCTCTCTCTGGAATGTCTTTCTCGTCCAACTCGTTGGCTGGCCCATGTACCTCACCACCAACGCCAGTGGTCAAACTCATTACCCAGCTGGGACCAATCGTATGTTTCCTCTCATCGCCAAGCTGATGAGACGCTGATCCGTCAGACTTCACCCCCAAAGCTGTCATATTCCGAGCTTCACAATACTGGCAAGTCATCTGGTCTGACATCGGCATCTGTCTCGCCTTGACCGTATTGGGATACTGGATTTACAAAAGGGGTTTCGCAGAGTTTGCATCTATTTATCTCGTTCCTTACTTGTTTGTCAACCAGTGAGCTTGTCCATTCTAGTACCGAAACTCACAGCTGATGTCAAAGCTGGCTCGTCTTAATCACGTTTCTTCAACATACCGATCCTCTCATACGTGAGTGCCCTCCCTCCTTTGCATCTTCTGAATCCAACTCGCATGATATACGCTAATCCTCAGCCCATTACTCTGCTGAGAAATGGACTTTCGCCCGTGGTGCGTTGGCAACCATCGACCGCAATTTCCTTGGCCCTGTCGGCAAATACATCCTCCATGGTATTTGTGAGACTCATGTAGCGCACCACATTGCATCAAAGATTCCTCATTGTGAGCTCATTTCTATGATGTTTCCTCTTCGCCTCCCCCCGCCCCCCCTTACTGGCATGATTGCGGCGCCGGTGTTGGTGGATGACAGTCTAGGTCGGGTTCGGTGCGTAGGCCTAACTTTTGACTGACCCGTAGACAACGCATGGGAAGCCACTGCTGCATTGAAGACTTATCTCGGACCTCATTACTACGAATCTGAAGAAAACATCTTGGCGGCTTTTTGGAGGTGTCACAGGGAATGTCTCGTGGGTGTTCTTCCTCGTCTCGTCTTGTCACCTTGACCTTGAAGCCTCTGAGCTATTTTGCAATTTACCACATCTGAAAGATTGGGCCAATTCATGTCTGTTATCGCCCGAACGGACCTTTCGTTTCTATGTTCCTATCTGCGTAGGATATTCCCGAACCGATTCCGTGTTAGTGGATGATGCGATCAGTCAAAATGCCTCACCTACCCCGAAACCACCTAATGTGTTCTTCTCGCCCCAAAAACTTGCATTTCATGTCAACCCCAAACAGTCCATCTCCCGTTCTGGCCGGACACAACCCGATATGTCAAAGTAGAGTAATGAGATCGTCCTGACCAGACGCTGACGCTCAGTTTGTGGAAGACGGACAAGACGTCATGTTTTTCAAGAATGCCTCTGGGTTGGCGCAACGTGTCCCAGTGGAAGAAGGTGGGAATATCTCGGATTCGGGTGTGGACATGGGGGAGAAGTGAGAGGTGTTGGTCGGTCGTTGCTAGTCCATTCCCAATCTGGTAAGTTTATGAAGGAGAAATGGGTGATGGAGGTCAAGTTGCATGTTGGTAGGTGTTTGAAGAAGGATGGAATTACGTTTTTACGTTTGATATGAAAGATACACATGAAGATGATTTTACCTTGTCTCTGCGACTCTTTCTTGCCTTGATCCGTGGGTTCAGTATTGACTTACGTATGATGATGACACAACATGATGTGCGATGGGGGGTTTCCCATGATGTTGGGGGCATGGGGGAATGAGTGGGAGATAGTGTACGTACTTGTAGATTGAAGCGAGAATTGTATGTGTAAATGGAATGACCCTCCTTTGAACGACAGCTAATCGTGTCAAAATCACTCATTCCACTTCCTTTCTTCTTCTTCTTCTTCTCTTCTCTTCTTCCATCTCGTCTCTTCTCTACTCTTCCATCTCTATCATCACTTCATCAGACCTTCTTGCATTCTTGAACCAATATCTCACATCGACGTCATCCCTTAAACTGTTCTTTGTCTATCTGAGATCTGAGATCCGAGTAGTAAAGGATAAGGGCACAAGGGGGATACGACTAAGTCACTTGAGAAGAATGATCCCTCGCCACCCATTCGGTCCTCCTCCCCTTCCCCCTCCCCCTCCCCCTCCTCATTCTCAATCTCAATTGAATCATCCTGGATATTATAACAATCCATATCCTACATATCCTCATCCTCATCATCATCGACCTCATCATCATACACATATCCACTCTCTTCCTCATCATCCTCATTCGAACTCTCACCCTCATCATCCCCATCCCCATCCTCAATCGAATCCTCACCCTCATCATCATCCTCAATCCAATTCGCATCTTGATCGTCAATCGAATCTGCACCCTCAATCGAATACGGATCCGAATCCGAACTCGCATCTTCATCCTCAATCGAATCCGACTCCGAATTCTGAATCGACTTCGAATCCGAATCCGAATCCTCAATCGAATTCCAACTCCAATTCGGACACACAACCAAATCCCATCATCCCACCTTACATCCCTGGTATCTCTGGGAATCCTTCAATGTTATTACCTCCCATAACAGGTATGTTCGGACATACTATGAATCATCCTTTTACGAATAACGTTCGACCGGACGTACTTAATCATCCTTCGGTCGGTCATGCGGAATCGGATAGGACTGCGGATGCCGTTAGACCGGATGTACTTGATCATCACTCGTCTGGGATGGAGTCTATCATCCGACCGGATAGTCCTGAACATCACTCATCTGGGATGGACTCTATCGTTCGACCCGAACTACCTGTCCCTCTCTCATCTGGAGAAAAAGAAATTATCAAGAAAGACCAAGTGGTCAAACCGAATATTGATGTCGCCACTTTGGACGAACCTTATCCTTGCGCTTATATCCATCCTAGTGCATATGAGAATGGTCATTATAAATCTGGACCTCAAATGAAGAGGGAGGAAGATAAATCCAACGACTTAGCGGTGGATAATCTACCTGTCCAATCGACTAACTCTGTCATTCAGAGGAAAGCAGATCACGGGTTTCATTTGCAAGACTCAAACATCGACCAGAAAGATGTCAACCAAGAGAAAAACCGAGACCAAAACCAAGAGAAAAACAATGTGAATGAGGATACTGTGAAAGTAGAAACTCCAAGAATTTCCACACAAGATAAAGGCAAAATACCCATGTATAAAATCAAATCCGATCACCGTCGAGAATCTATAAACTCCCTCATACATCTTCAAAACGTTTCTTCCTCCGAAGATGAACACGCCATCATTTCACGTCCACTACCGGAAATCGTAGATGTTAGCAGGTCTGGAATATCTCACGAAGGACTTCAGAAAACTACCACAAATCTGGTCGATCAAAAGAAATCTTACTCCGGGATCAAAGAATCTTCCAATGGTGTCGAATCGAGTGACGATGAACCTATTCCCGATTGTCTACTCTCCCGACTCCCAGGTTCACCCCCATTGATGCGTAATCAATCAACAGACTCGACGGATAAATCTAAATGGACTTATGTGGAGAGTTGCTCTGATTTCTCTGAAGAGAGTGAGAGGGAGATGGATAGTGAGATTGATAATGCTAGTCATGTGGCTACTAAAGGTATGTGTGGTTCACCTTGTTCCTTCTTTCTTCGATGGTGCTCGTGATTGATTTTGTCCCACGCCGAGTTTCAGATGGATAATTTCCCTGCGCAGATTTCTCCGAGAAATTCTTCTTGGACATAACTCTTATGGCCCAATTCCTAAACTTCCATCCTCGCTCCCCGTGTGCTGGCTGGTAGTGGGGAATCCATGGGTAGTGAAGGCGACTACGACGAGAACTGATCATTAGATCGTGACGACGTACATACACCCTACGTCCCGTTGAATCAAAATCTAATCAATGGAGACGACGTAACTTCTGAGAAACCATGGAATACCTGGCAAGACTTCCTGGGAAGCGAGCGTCTCGACTCGAAGTCAGAGAGAGGACTTACTGATCAGAGTCAAATGTATCCCCTTCGTGAGTTGTCGTTCATCCCTCGACATGTCATCATATTGTCCTGTGTCTGTTCAATCGGTGCCTCCCTTCGTTTCAGGTCACCGCTCCTAGCACAGGCCTGAGTGAAAGCCCTCTCATCCTGTGCCGCGTTATACACGGAAAACTAGTCAAGCATGAAGCTCATGCCCAGATCCGATGTACTCTCGTGTGCCACGGGCCTCTGCCATGGTTGATGGAGCATGTCTCAGTCTCTCGGAAGGGGTGATGGGAGGGGATGAGATTGCCAAACCCATCGATGATGTCCCTGTACGATCTCTCCCCGAAATCGTAAACTCCGCACAAACAGCAATAGTTTTGGAAAATAAGGATACCTCCACAAACAACGTTCCCGTGAATCCCCCTGGCGTTAAACTCAGAGACCATCTGATCAAGTCGGTTCCCATGGGAGCGAGGCCAATCACATTACCACAGAATCCATCCAAAAAACGTGATCGGCCCAGTACTCTCCCAGTTGCAATCGCTTCGTGTAAAGAAACGAATGCCAACAGTTAGTCATCCGTGATTATGCGTCGTTCAAACTCTGCTAACACACAGATGACGTCTTGAAAAAACATATTGCGGGATACGTCAAGTCCACTACGGAATGTCTTCAAGAAATCACCAAGCAACTTGAAAATCTTCCAATTCATGCGAGGGATATCAAATGTACCATCCAAAGTTCGTTAAATCTCGACTCTGCCTTGGACAATAAACCAAGGGTATCATGCGTATCCAATTTCTCTGTGTCGACCACTCCTCCCAGGACCACATCGACCACTCCTTCGACCACTTCTTTCGAGCATATGGGAGACTCGGACGAAGATGACTTGTTGGATTTTTCGTCCGCTTCCGGTGAACCTGATGCCCACTCGACCCATACAACACCAGTAGCTCGTTCGGCTTATGGTCTAGCACCCGCAGATGTAGAAGCTGAAGCAATCACTCCTGTCCTTCCGACCACACCGAAGAAGGAGCACCGTGATACTTCTGTCGGACCCATGAGTCCGGTGGACGAAGAGAGATTCATCAATAGACTCTTGGAAAATCCTACCAATACTTCGGCCACTACGACCTTGTTGAATATCCTGAAAGATGAACATGTTCAGTTGGATTCGGTCTTGGGGCTCAAACTATTGGATCTCGCGGCGGATCTACGTCTTGGTGGAAGTCACGATATGACATCTCCATTTCGGAAACGAGGAAAACAATCGATGTCAACCCAAACTAAAAAAGACCGAAAGTGTAAAAAGGATCCGTTTGTGGAGATATCCAAAAAACTCGAGTCAGAGGAAATCTCCAACATTGACAAGAAGTCTTGTCCTTCTAAGAGGGAGGAATCGAAGAAACACAAAGATATCACCGAGAGCGCAATCACGAAAACTATGCTCATGGAAAAGTTGAATGAATTCGTACCTACTTTGAACGCCATCGCTTCTGCTGTAGGATTGAACGTTGTGGATGAAGTGGAAGATGGAAGTGCAACGGTGGAAACGAAACATCCCTTTGATAAATCCTCGATATCTCTCGCAGCAAATTCGCAATCCCGACATACCCATCTTGGTAACCCGGTACACGAGCCAACTGAGACAGTCGAACCTACCAAGAAAAAACGTGAAACCCTTACCGAATATCAAAAACGAATCGATACTGCTCGAGCGTCCACCAAGGATATGAAGTTTTGTGCAAGTTCGACCGGTATCACGTCTCACGGTCAACCAATCTCTGCGAATTTGCAGGATTCAAACCAACAGCCCAAACTCACGAACGATTCGCTCTTGTCTGGATCTACCAACAAACCTTTTGCAGAGTCTAAATTGCCCATGGACCCCGTCAAGATTGATACTCACAGAAACGGAAAGCAACCTTTACCATCGATTCAAATTCCCAATGGGATCACCACCATTCCCAATATCAACACCTCCAACCAATCTGTCGAACCAGATCGAGGATTATCTAGCTCAACTTCAGCCCCTTCTTCCGATAGTACGATCGACATCACCCATCCTATACCCTTCATGAATTCTTGGCCAAATCTACCACAAGCTCCATTAAACGAATCGGAATGGGCGGAAATGTTTGATATTCCACCTCCATGGATGAATCCTTCACTACAATCCAAACCATTTGAAACTTACCATGATCAATCAAGTAGGTTACATAATCCTATAGAATGGTCACCTCCTCAATTACCAAATCCCACTTTCAAACTTCCCAACCCTCAACCACCTTTCTTCGGAATTGATTCAACTCCATTCAATTCATCATTTCCTTGGTTACATCATGTCGAAACAAACCCAGGGTACATACCATGGGATCAACCTCATTTATCTTTTCCTCACTTCGGACAGAACCAATTAGGTCAATCATCTCAATTCTATCCTCATCCTTGGAATCAACTTCTGGGTCAGGTAAGATCACAACATACCGCTGGACAATTGGATATGACGGAAAGGTTTGATAGATCTGATCCGTTCCGTTGTAGGGATTTATTTAGAGGGATGAGTTTCGTTCCTTGTCAAATGGGTGGTGATCAGTTTGGTCCTTTGAATCAAATGAGTCATACGATGGGACAAAATCCTTTTTCTCAGGCTGGTCATTCCATGGGACCTAGTAACCCCCTACCTCAGACCGCTCATTCCATGGGACCGAATAACCCACTATCTCAGACAATTCACTCGATGGGACAAAATCCTTTTTCTCATACTGGTCATTCGATAGGACCGAATAACCCCCTACCTCAAACAAATCACTCGACGGGACCAAAGAACCCATTACCTCAAACCCACCATTCCAACGTTGGAGGGTCAAGATCGACCGATGTTCGACCAGGGGTAGGATCAGAAGAAAGAAGAACAGGTCAACCTTATTACGCTCCGGGGGGAATGCCAACTTTTCCTCCCACTTTACCTCGACCATCTGGAATGTCGGAAATGTCAACTAATCCTCTCACTTTCCCTAGACCATCAGGAATGTCGGAAGTGCCAAATTTCCCTCTCACTTTCCCTCGACCAGCTGGAATGTCGGAGATGTCAAATCTTCCTCTTCCTTTCCCTAGACCATCTGGAATGCCAGAAATGCCTGGGTTCATGTTCGGTCAAAGGCCGCCGTTTTGGGGGTTCTAGTCGACTTGTCTAGCATCAAGTCCAAAGGGTATTGTCTTGGTAATTCCGTCCGACCGTTCGACATTCAAGAGTTTGGAGACGCTCAATGGGACCAGGGAATTATGATTGTTTTATACAAAGATGGTTGGAGATGTTTGTGAATGACTAGTGGACTGATGTGAATAGAGGATCATTGTGAATATTTGTGAAGGAAGAAATACTATTAAGGAGGATGTGTAAGAAGTAAGATGAACGTACGTTCAAGGGGAGAGCAGAGGATATTGATGGGGATTTGTTTGTGAGACCAAGAAGATATTATCGATGAGCTTGAAAGATCGAAGGATAAGATTATAAGATGATTGACCAGGATATGGAGAGTAGGAAATGGGAGATAGGAGATAAGAGGTTGTGAGAGGTCAAGTTTAAGGGAAGAGATGAGACGTGCTGGACACAGTGGATATGGGATATGGAAGATACGGATAAAGTAGGTAGGAATGAAATGAATATGCATTTATATGGCGAAACTTTGTTCTCTGGTTTGTGATGGGATATGTCCTATTCACCACACACACACCTATCGTGCTGGACTCACAACCTTGTCTGCTCGCTTAGTTATCCCACCGATCCCACTATGACATTGTATCGTACCAATAAGTTGACTGGGACCAGTACGAGTAAGGTAAAGTAAGTAGAGTACTCAGTGCAAAGTGGCGACCAGTGAGGGAGTGACAGACAACTTCCGACGGAAACATGTCAACTCGTTACCAAAGTTGTCCGTGCTCACTCCATCTCCCTCCTTCCTCACTTACCTCACTTACTCTACTTTCTATCTATCCTACTCATCTCTCCAATTATACCTGATCCCTCATCCTCTACTCCCCATACTCACCTTATTCCACTGCTGCATGACCTTTCGTCTCACTTCCAGATCACTCAAAACCGGCGGCTGACCGACCAATTCCATCCTCGATCATAGAGTATCTTCCTTCTTTCCTCTCTTGGGTCGTTCAAACATTTCCCCAAACCCAACTCATATCTTACACCTCCTTCTATCCCGATTTAGACTCAACATTACACTTTTTTCTATCCCGATTTACACTCATACCTCGATCAATCTACCCATCTTTGATTAATCCCGATCTCCCACTCTAACCCTTTGGAAGTCAAGTCAGTTATAGATAATCCACGATAAAAATACAAAATGTCATACCGAACACTCCAATCTTCCTCAACAAACTCAACTATGAACACTATCAAGACTGAATCACCTGAGTTCAACCATCCAGAAAGAAACGATGGAAGGTTTCTTGATGCTGTTGGTGAACATGAAGAATTTGATAATGTTCCTGAACATTTAGATTATGAATTTCATGATGCTGAAGATGGATCTCCTCGGATTGGACCTCCTCAGATTGAATCTCCTCATATTGGACCATCTCAGGTTGGACCATCTCAGATTAGATCTCCCCGAGATAAAGTTACCAAGAGGAGATCTACGGATGAAGATATGTTAAAGGAAATAAACATGGATGTAGTGAAAGGAAAGATGGAATATGAGAATACGATGGAGAGACAACAAGATGGGATATCTGAACAAGATGAATATAAATCACCGGAAGGGTATCAACAACATGGGGATCAACTCGGACACGATGAGGCGAGAGATTATTCAGGAAGGAAGATACGACCAGAACCGGTGGAAGAACAAGAAGGGGTATATGGTTATATACCACTTGATTCAGATGATTATTTAAGAAGACATTCTATCCCTCAAGATCATGATCATAATGAAATACCCATGTCTCGACCTGAACAACACCCAAATCAACTCCAAACTCAACAAAATCAGATCAACGAGAGTGGTCCACTCGCTCATGCAGAACAACAAAATGATCAAGAGGCGACTTTGGAATATCATGAATTTTTAGATGTTAACGAGTCGTTCGAACATCCCACCCAAGCTGTTGAGACATCAGGACATGTCGGTCAAGATAACTCAGGAGGACCCAACCCTAATGACATGGGAAGGGGAAATATAGATGGAGAAACAAAACAAACGGATGGTCAGAAAGTAAAGACAAAACCTGTCCCGAGGGAACATCAAGGTGTAGTCGGAGGAGGAATGATAATGGATCAAGAAGAAAAGAGGGAACATGATTCAGGTCAAGAAAGAAATTTAGATGTCCAATATCCTCAACCAGTGGAAATGGTTAGACCATTAGGAAAACCCAAAGAGTTGGAAGGAATTCAACGGATACGTGAGAAATATGAAGATGTGGATAGTGAAGAAGATCAAGAAAATGTATCTGAAGCTGTACATTTTTGTTTATTGGCAGAATTCGATATTGATGCTGGAGCGACTTTGACACATCAGTATCCTTATCCTACGGGGACGGATGAACAGTGAGTGTTTGACTTCCTCCCGCCCCTTCCCCTCTCTCTCCATTTAAGTCCTCCTCACTCATCCCCTCCCTCCCGATTTCCCTCCTCCTTCCCCTTTCCTCTCTTCCCATTTATGTCCCCATCCCGTTCCGGACTTTTTTCTCTCTCTCGTCCCCCCCCCTCCTTTCATCGCTTTTCTCACGAATTGCGCGGCGCCTCCTCCCCATTATTTGCAATCACCGGCATACTTCCAAGCTCATTCATCCCAGTCGCCTAGCAGAACTCATGCTTCCCGACGGTGCCCATCTCCGAGCGGAAGATTGGACAGTGTTTTATCTTGGTCAAACTGAATCTTCCGCCGTCGCACCAATGTTATCCCACGAAGCACATCCTTCCCCTCCCGGTAACCCGTCTCAAGGACAAGGTGATGGATCTAGAAGAGCGTCAATGATACCACCTTCTCAAAGACCTAAAAGGGGTGCGGCGGGAGGTGGTTTGTTATATGTTTTGAATTGTGTGAGAATGAAGGAAGATAAAAATATGAGAAGAGGTGCTATGGTGAAAGCTTTAGCTATATGTACACCTAATCCTTATATCGGGATTTACCGAGTGAGTCTTATTTTCTCTATTGTCTCATTCAATATCCCTATTCCAACAAATAAGCCTTGGTGCTTGGCTGACTGTCCTCTTTCGTGTCTCATATCATATTCCTCGTCTCTCATACTATACTCCTCGTCTCTCATATCTGTTATCCAACCCCTCCTGTCTTTCTTGTCTTCATTTGAAGAGAACATCCATCGTGCGGTCCGATATCTTATCTTGCTTCTTGTTCGGCTTCTCATTTGTGACCAAGAAAAAGCTCACCCCAGCCCCTACTCGTTCTCGCATTAGAAGATTATTTCCGTGAACCTTCCGCAGAAGTTCTCACAAGATTATACGATTCAGCAAACGCAATCTCCCTATCCGGTATGCCCAATTTAACTCGAAACGAACGTCTACTTCTTCGAGCTTCCGAACGTAAAGATTTATTCGAAGAAAGGTTCGGTATTTCAGAAGAGATAATTTCAGATCCTGAAGTTTATTCTGAAACTGGTCATACGGATGAAACTGGGAGAATAACTAGAATGGGTTCAGGTTCTTCTGTTGGTCATACTAGTTATGCTAGTCATAATTTTCACGGTAGTCAATCTGGACATGGGGTTCAACATAATGGAAGTCAATTAGGACATGGGATTCAACATAATGGTAGTCAATTAGGACATGGACAAGGAAATCAGTTGGGTCATGGATATGGTCAAAATACAAGACAAGGAAGTACAGGATCAAGTAGAGGTTTTTTAACGACACCACCTTCTAGAGAAGGTAGATTAACTCCTGAAGTTTATGAAAGGAGAAAAGGTGTACCGAGAGATACACATTTTTTCGAAACGGAAGCTAAGTTTAGAAGGATTACTGTACCTATCAGAGTACCTACGGCTGTTTTCGATGAGGATGTTGGGGAAGTGAGTGATGTTTTTGCTCTCTTCCTCTCTTCCTCCTGTGTCTTCCTTCCTACTCTTTCCTACCCCGCCCGGTTCGATTAACATCGTCCTATCATGTATCTCCTCTGACCACGGGAGGGCTCATGACCATCTGTCACATCCAATCCCCCCCTACCCAACCGTTTCTCCCTTTCTGAACGCTGGCGGTCTAGTCTTTATTCGCCCGCCGTCGTCTTCTCCACACCTGGCCTTTGCTTGCAATCAATCCAACTGTCGCTTCCTTCCCCTACGACTATGTTGCAGAATATACAGAGAACACACACTGTTGTGTGAATTGAATAACTCACTCCCAGTATTCCCTCATCGAACTAGTTCAAACATTCTCTTCCAACATCCCCTTCCCACCACCATTCCATCCACATCTTCATACAAACGGCTCCAACACTCATCCCGTCATTTTAATCCTAAACGCCATTCTAGCAGGTAAAAGAATAATGTTCCTAGGACATGGTCTTCCTGCCAATCAAGTAGCTCGTATGGTTTTATCAGCTTGTGCTTTAGGTTCAGGTTGTGGTCAAGTTCTAAGAGGTATAACGGAAACAGCTTTTCCTTATGCTAATCTAGCGAGTTTAGATGTACTTGAAGAATTTTCTGGATATATAGTAGGTGTCACAAATCCACGTTTTGAAGAATTACATATGACTTGGGATGTTTTATGTAATATAGAAACTGGACGTGTCACTGTGAGTAAGAATCTGAATGGGAATCTTAATGGTATTGGGAACAATTTAGGTGCTAGTGTTAAATCTGGAAGAAGTAGTGAAACTAGTTTAACTGGAAGTATGGTAAAAGTTGAAGAAATCGGTTTGGTCGATACTCCTCAAGCGAAGATGCAAAGTACAAGTAAAGCGGATTGTGTGGATAATCAATTTATGGAAGATGTGAGTGAAGTGAACAATTTCATTTCTCATTCCTTCATCCACAATCCTTCTCATCAATCTTTGCCCTCAACGATATCGTACTTGTCTCCGCTGCTGCTGAATAAATCTTCAACCAGAATTGTGTTTTCAAATCCACTTACGTCTCAATCCTTCACAAGTCCATCGTATCTCTTTGGTCGTTGATAACTCCTTCTCGTCCTATCACTTCTTTCCAATATTTAGATTTCGTCCAACCTTCACATCATATTTAGTGCAAGACAACACCTTGAGATCATGTGTTTCAGCTGTCCAACTTGATCAATCCGATTTTCCCAAAAGGTTTGTGTATCCTCCGCTAATATCAGGTGTTATCAGCAATGACATCACATTTCGGTGAAACGCATATTCGTCTCAAATTCATTGATTATTTAGAACGTTTTGTACGTTTAGCAGGACATCAAGAATACCTTCATACAGGTATGACCAAGATCGCTTATCCTTCAACTAGTTATAGAGAAGGTCAATTAGGTTCCGGTGTTGTTTTTCCAGATGATTCTCAGAGACAAAGGGAAATGTGGGCGAATGGACATAGGATTGATGCTTGGAGAAAAACGAATAGTTATAGGTTGTATGAAAAGGTGGGTTTATCTTTCTTGATTCATTCTTCCCTATTCCGTCATTTCCCTATTTGTTTTTGTCATCTTCTCTTTTCTCTTTGCTCTCGTCATTTACTCTTTCCTCTCTTCACTTCTTGTCCTCTTCTCTTCCTTTCGCCTCCTCGTCTATTATCACCCTTCTCCTATCAAGCTAGGAATAGTCGGTGTGCCTCTACCCTTCTTGTCCATCCTCACTCCACATTTCCAGTCTGACTGCGGTCTTACCGCTGTTACTGGTGATAGTCTCAGCACGATTGCTTTTCTCGGATTGACCCAAGGTTCCAGGTTTCGTTTCGGACCATCAACTTGATGTGAAAGCATTACGGTATTTTCTAATTCTCAGGATTGGCAGAGATCCCTCGAAAGACGTGCAATACAAGGATTCGACGTTCAACATCAAATTTCAAAACTCCGTTATGCCAAGAAAATGTCTGATGCAGAAGCAGATGATATTTTTCTCACTTTCGCTCAAACTGTACGGACTTATGATCAAGTCGTAGAGGTCAGTTTACACTTTCACACTCTCATCCTCAACTTTATATTATTCATAACTTTCTCTTGTACATCCACTCAATTCTCCCTTTAAATATATTCTGGATCGAAATCGTTATTTGATCCTTTAAATTCCCTTCTTGACCACTATAGTACCATACTGGTGTTTGGGAGGTACACGACTTGATCAATATGATGAGTTATCATCGACTGAGCGGTGTCATGGTGACAGACACATCTGTGTGAACTTTATTAATCCACAGTTACTCACTTACCTCCCTCTTCATCTCGGAGGTCTTATACCAATTGCCAACGGTCTATTCCATCGCTGGGCAGAAGTCAGGGATTATACGGTAGAATTGTTAATAACGATGCAACGTTATCCCGTAAGTGATATCCTTACTCATCTCATATCGATACCTTGTTACTCTTCCTTTGGTCTCCTTCTACGCCACGTCCAACCATCTCATATCAACTGCCGGAAAAAAGATCTTTCAGCTGATGAACAGATTGGAAGACAAGCCGTAGCTTCTATGAATTACTTTTACCGTCAAACGTATATTCGACTGTTATCACAACGAGAAGCTTTGACAAGTTCACAAGACCCGTTTTACGATCAACAAAGTAACGGAGATCAAGATGGTTATTTCGCTCCGGACGTCACTTCGCCCAATACGGTGATAGGGTAGAACTAGAGTTTCAACCTCATCTTGTAAGGTTTGATCAATAAACGGATAGAAGGGCGGGGATGAGTGGGTAATGGAAATGAATTGAAATGGGTAGATATGAATGATGAACTGAATACGAATTATGCCATGCTCAGGATGAATCTGTTGTAATCCCATGCATCTTACATCTGCTTAAAGCTCTTCGGGAAAGCTCATGCCACGAGGGTGGACGCACTGGCAGCTTCGTATTTGAAAGTAGGAGGAAGCTGCTGGGAGCGAATGTAATAACGGGCGAGACGATGGATACGAGATTCGATGAGAATCATTCGGCTGAATGTTAGCGTTGACGCAAGGGGATTGTTGATTTGAACAATGTAGGAAGGATAATAATGTGCCAGATAGCAATGAGAATTGGGGAGGATGATGGGAAGTTGAATAGTGTCGGATGTGTCTCGAAGGCACGTTCTTCTCATACTGTATGTAGACGGAAGAAAAGGATGGAAGGCGACGTGGAGATGAGTCATGAGAAAAGTCGAAGACGGGAACCTACAATTTGGCATCCTTGTCACCACGGTTACGTTCGAGATGTTTACGAACCGAGACAGCTTTCTTGATGAGATGGTAGAGATCCTCAGGGATGGAAGGAGCGAGACCTTGATCTCAGCGATTATTCTTTCCCTAATTTCTATTCCATCCCACTATCGACAACATCACACCATCCATCCAAGACTTATCGTACGACCACATATCCAAGTGTCTAAAACCATCGCGGATGATGTGTACAGGAAAAAACGTGGACAGTTAGAAGACTTATATGAACGATTACAAATTAACAAGTCGCGATAAATTGGGATAGTAGGGAAGGAAGAAAGAAGATGGAGACTAACCATTCGTCTTGAGAATCCTGAGAATCTTGTTCCCCGTCACACTCTTGATCTGAGCGATACCTTGAGAATCACGCAAGGTCACACCGATTTGAGAAGGGGTAAGACCACGACGAGCGAGTTTGAAAATCTGATCGCAGACATCTTCGGCGGTGGCTTTGGACCAAGAAGGTGCCGAACGGCGGTAAGGCAGAGCAGAAGCTGAAATACCTTTTCCTTTGCTGTGCATACTGACAAGTCAGCTATATTCTTTTTCCCTAACGATTCATCCATTGGTTCTCCGTCCTTGTCTTGGTGAAAACCTTTCCTATTCCTTCTCATTCACTCTTTTGGAAACCATCCCGTCAGACCTCTGGATGTCTCGAATGATCTCACAGACTGAACACAGGGGAAGGTTGAGTGTGAACCGTCCAAAAATGATGACGCTCTCCCCAACGACATACACCCCAACAATGCCTTTCCCTCTCCAAGCCTCGCAGGAAATATCTTACGATGGCTTCTTGGAATGAAAGGGAACAAGAGGATACAATCACTCACCGACCCATCTTGGCGCAATAGACTCGGTTTCCGTCGTATAAGTTTGAAGGATGGAAAGCAACAACGTCTGAAGGTGAGAAAGAGTTTGGGAGGATGAATCCGCCACCAAACTTCATTCATATCACCGAAACTCCGATGCCACGACAAACTCACCCCAGATTGCCGACAATAACCCCGATCCAAGAAACTGCAACTACCGTACTCTTCCTCGCGCTTCTCTACACCGACATCTTCGACATTCTCAAGTGCAGCATCACCCAGCGCAGCACTTGAGCTCGTAATAAGAAATTAGGACATTATGAAAGTCAACATTTCCAACCCTGCTACGGGATGTCAGAAGCTGTTCGATTTTGACGATGAACGTTTGACGTGAGTTTCCGCGTTGCTACTTCAACCCGCACCCCTTCTGCCCTTCTGCCATCTATTCCATGTTCAATAATCGTAGAGATACTGCTGTCACGGAGGATGGAAGAGAGAATATGTGAGAGAAAGGAGGAGAAAGATGGATTTGACTAACGATCAGCCGTGTGTTCTTGGACAAACGTATGGGCAACGAAGTTCCCATTGACAGTCTTGGCGATGAGTTCAAAGGTTACGTCGTACGTATCACCGGTGAGTCTAATTTTTTTCGTCTTTGAAAGTCATCACAAGGCAAAAGGAAGAAAGCTCACTTCACAGGTGGTAACGACAAACAAGGTTTCCCAATGAAACAAGGTGTCTTAACTCCCGGTCGTGTCCGTCTTCTCCTCTCTGCAGGTCACTCGTGTTACCGAGCTCGTCGAGATGGTGAGAGGAAGCGTAAAGTTGGTCCATCTTTCTTACCGATGAGGGCGCTTGTTGACGATCTCAGTCCGTTCGAGGATGTATCGTCTCCAACGATATCCGTGTACTGGCTGTTGCCCTTGTGAAACAGGGTGAACAGGAGCTTCCTGGTTTGACCGACACTGTTCTCCCCAAACGTATGTCGTCCGCTTTGAATCACTTCCCGGCCCAAATATTCCCTTCTCAATTACTTTCCCTCACCTGACGCCCCGCCCTTTTCCTCTCCCTTGATCCTTTGAATATACTTGTGTGAGCATCAGTGGTCAGAATCAGATGTGTCATTGGCTCCCCTGTACTAACAATCAGGCCTCGGACCCAAACGTGCCACTCGTATCCGTAAAATGTTCAATCTCGACAAATCCGACGATGTCCGCAAGTTCGTCATCCGTCGTGAAGTGACCAAAAAGAACGGCAAGACCGCCTCGAAAGCCCCCAAGATTCAGAGGTTGGTGACGCCTATGCGTCTGCAACGTCAACGACACTTGCGTTCGCTCCAACGTCGGAGGACCGAGGCGCAGAAGGAGAAGGTGGCGGATTACAAGACTCTCGTGGCCAAGCATGCCGAGGAGAAGAAGGTTCACGACGCCGCCGTGCGTGCTGCCAAAAAGGCTCGCAAGGCTGCTTAGTGCTCGGTTGGGCTGGACATGATGCATGTATAGCATTTCACGGCAACCAAAAGGTTTCTGACGTTGATGGGTTCGTGAAGGGGGGAGGTGTGGTCACCTTGTGCAGAACGATACAGTCTCGTTATGCTTTCATACAGTCTCATCACCGTCCGAATAATGATCTCACCCAACTCATGAACCCACTGCTGGGTGGGTCGTCAGTCGTCGCCACTTCCGCCTTGCCTTCTTCGGCAGCTCGTAACCGTTTCTTGTATGTTGAGGGTAGTTCCACCTTTTTCGATGCCCACAGCCCTTTCTTCGCCGCTCTAAAGATCAGCCTTCGTCTTTGCCTAGGATCATCAAATAGAGTAGACTGAAGCGATATGTAGGTGGATGAGTGTGAACGGGGAAGCGAAGGACTGACTTGGCTCTAGATTCTATCTCTTGTAATCTCTTCAAACCCCACGGACCATACTCGGCTCCAGATGAAGTATACACCACTGCCATACCTTCTGATAACATGAGCAAAGGCAGAGGTTTATCAGGTAATATCATCCTGCGTATGTAAGGTACCGCTACCTGAGGCGTCAACAAATTGGGTCATGAGAGTGGACAAAACTTACAATACGACCATATTGATCTTTCCTCAATAATTGACATTTCATACGTTTATCATTGATTGTAGATCTTAACCAATCTAATGATTCTTGTGCGTGAGGTTGAGAAGGATTACCAAAATGAGCGTTCTCAGGAGCGTCCACACCGGCTATACGTATATGTATAGTTTCATCTTTTAATTCTGTAATTTAAGCTTGGTATTCCTCTCTTACGGTGTAGCCATCCTTCCAAACCAGGAAAAAACCCTCTTCTTCTGAAAGAATTCGACGGAAGGGGATCACTTTCTTTTATATGACGAAAGCAAGAGTATGAGGTTTGATATTGATTCAAGGATGTTGGTGTGGTTTGGAATGAGATTAATTGGGTACCGTGAGATTTACGAAGAGTTTGAGACCTTACCTTTCGGAGTAGAAGGTATACTTCGTATTTTAAAAGGATATGAAAAGAATGGTCCGGGAGTATGAAATAATCTGAAATTATCTCATCATCAGCTTAACTCCTTGGATTTGATAAAGTGAGTCAAAAGCTTACTGACCTCCATCCCCCACGCTGAATATTAGCTATATGTACAGACTAATCCCAATTCTCAATCAGAGAAAGCTCAAATAGCCATCGCTTTAAACTACAGGGGTGATTCTACGATCAAGCTCATGAGGATAGGACTTGGGAAATGGTAGAGTAGCAAAGGGGATGATGAGAGAAATGGAGGATATCAACACTAGTAAGATGACTGTCAGACGATGTATGAATTCAGATAGGGGAAGAGGGATATTATCAAGATTGAAAAGGGGATTCAACTCACCTAGTAACCACACCTTTTACCCATATTTTCTTCTCTAACATTCTTAAAGTCACAGAATCAGAATTCTTTATACGACGCCATAATATCTTATGAAACCAAATTCCTCCTATTCCTATCAAGATAGTTGAGGTGGTTGATATCAAAGCGATGGAAATTGGATCTTTGGGTATTGACCATGTTCTGGGATTAGCGAAGTTTGACAGAATGACTTTTCTTTGGATCGTGCTGAGACTTGACATGTAGTTGGCCATTTGAAGGAGAGGATAGGTGGATGACGAGATAGTGGTACTAGTGTATGAAGGATTGGAGGACTTACGAAGAGTCCTTGAGACGAGATGATGAAGGGGACGAGGATGAGGAAGAGGGAGTAGAGGAGGAAGAGGGAAAGAAAGAAGAAAGTGATTCAAGTGGAGAGTTGGTCATGGGATATGTACTAGGGAGGGGTGCAGGGTTGGTGGGGTGAAAGTGGGTACGAGTATCATCAGATTTCATCTTGTCGTGGTACTCGTATGTAGTAGGAAGTGCTGTTCCATGTATTTCTGAGGCTAAGATTGAAGTTCGGCCACCAAGACTAACTTGACAAGAGTTCTTTGGATCTTTGGGTGGGTGAAGGTGGAGATGTAAGAGAAAGAAGGATGAGGTATTTCTATCTTTTTAACCCACTCAGCCATATGGGACAGCAGCAGCAGCACGGGTGAGACGGGGAAGAATGTCCTGGATTTTGTCCTTGTTCTTTCTTATTCGCATGCATGAGACAATTCTTCATAACATTTCATGCCATATTTGCTCTCTACTCTCTTGTCCATAGTTAGATATTGTCACTTTCTACACACATGATTGAACAACGATGCATCATTAGAGTGTTAGAATAGAGATATGCCACGTGTGCTTCCGGCTGCTACACGCGCGGTCCAGTCACCCCGACGCGTCAATTTCCAAATTGTCACTTTCCTCTCGCTTCTTCTTCCCTCCATATCTAGACATCGAGTCATCTAGTTAGCTGGGTGACTTTGGCACAGAAAGCTTTCGACCATGGTGAGTTCTTCAATATCTCCTCATACCAATGTTTCTGTGTAAGAGAGGAATCCGTGATACCTTCCTCGGCTGGGATACCGAAGGGGGATCCGTCGTGAGAGCTCAATTTCAAAGTAGGGCGGATGAATAGCGGGGATGTTGTCCAGGTGACAATACCATAGTTGAGATCACTATCACTTCCTCCTGACAAAGACGTGGGAAGGTCAACCCCATGTCTCAAGTATCATCCTGCTTGGGTAGCAGGAGAGGTTACCTGGATGTTTTGGAAGTGTGAATGAACCGAGAGAGGCAAACATGGTCAACAGAGTGAATAGGATTTAGACTGTCATGAAATGGCGGTGATTTTTCAGAGTGGGGTGGGAAGTCCGGTTGAGATTTAAACCTTTTCGAGGTTATCAGTGGAAGATATGAGAAGAGACATTGAAGATGGATGAGTGGAGAGCTAGTCAGAAGTCATTGAGACGCGAGATTCCCACATTCAGAGGAACGAGATCAAAAGAAGTAAAACAGCTCTGAGATGAGTCACCAGTAAGAGGGAGAGTCAGATTGTAAGGAAGAAGCGTGTGGACGACGCTCACTCACAGTACATCAAAACTATCACTATTCAAGGGTTCAAGTCTTATCGTGATCAAGTCGCAGTAGAACCTTTCTCACCTAAACATAATGTCGTAGTCGGACGAAATGGTAGTGGGAAATCTAATTTCTTTTCTGGTGAGCTTTCGCCTATACCTCTCCTCTCATGTCTTCCTCATCAATCGCATTCTCTTTTCGCCAGTCTCTCAACCAAACCAAATTCGCTTGCTTTGTAGTCTCATGGTAATATTCAAATCGCCTCTGTCTGCGGCCTTCCCTTCGTCCCGCTTGACACCCGTGGCGGCACTGACCCATAGCAATTCGCTTCGTCCTCTCCGATCAATATACTTCTATGACAAGGGAAGAAAGACAGAATTTGTTACATGCAGGTACAAGTACGAGTGCTACTTTGTCTGCCTATGTGGAAATTGTCTTTGACAGTGAGTCTCTCCTTCTTCTCATAAGCTCATTCAATCCTTCGGAAGCGTCTGGCTACCAAATCGGACCCACAATGCTTTTCCGCTTCAGTGAGTCATCACTCCCGAGCTCACGCCCAGATACCGATGGTCGATTTCCTACGAATCTCCCGGAAATGCACCTCCGTCGAACGATCGGGTTGAAGAAAGATGAATATTCGCTAGACCGAAAGTCTGCCAGTAAGGCCGAAGTTATGAACCTCCTCGAGAGTGCGGGATTCTCAAGAAGTAATCCTTACTACATCGTACCACAAGGCAGGGTGAGTCTTTCTCTTGGTCCTTTCCATATGTGGCTCGCGTCTGCGCCTATTGATCCGATCGCACATAACTCAGCGGGCCACATACAAGAACGCCTGTGTTTCCCTCCGCACCATCATCGATTGTGATTGACTCACGCGTGCAGTTCTGAGCCCACGTTGCTTCAAACAGCGCTGATCACAGATCACCCACTTAACCAACATGGGCGATAAAGAACGACTGAATCTGCTCAAAGAAGTCGCTGGTACTAAAGTGTACGAACAGAAGCGAGCAGAGTCGACAAAACTCATCGAGGAAACAGGTCAGTCCGATTCCTATACATTACTTCTTCTCAGATACATCTTCCCGCCTCACCGCACTTACCCCACATGCATTACAATGCCTTTGACACTCGTCACTCGCAAAAGAGACCCGAAAAGTGTGGGAAGTTACGCTAACTCCCTCTCAGAAGCCAAGCGCTCAAAAATCTTCGACCTGCTTCAATACATTGAAGATCGTCTCACCGAGCTGGAGGAGGAAAAGGCGGAATTGGCCGAATTCCAGAAAAGTGACAAAGAAAGACGATGTTTGGAGTATGCGCTGCATCAAAAGGAGCTCGAAGATGTCACCAGCGCCATCGAACAGATCGAAGCGGAGAGGATGAACGACTTGCATAACAGTAATGAGAAACGAAAGGAGTTCAATAAGAGAGAAGCAGTGGTACAGGTGAATATTCCCTACACTTGCCCCTCCCATGTCCCTCATCTACGCCTGTTTCAGCAACTGGCATGTGTGATGCGATACTAGTGGGAGCGCAAGCAGGAGGTCGAAATTAGGTATAGCTAACCATTAGCAATACGAAGAAGCTCTGACGACCGCGAAACATGCCCTCTCCACCACTTCCCTCGCTTTACGGCAATACGAATCTGAAATGGCCGAGCTGGTCCGTGCGAAGACCGAGATAGAGTGTTTGCTTGAGGACTTTGCTCAGGCCGGTGAGTCAAGTGAAGAGAAGCGTGGACAACTGTCAGGCGAGCTGGAGAGTCTTGAGGCACGGTTGGAGGAGGCCAGTGATCGGTTAGTTGACTTGGGTGCCGAGCTGGAGGACCGAGTGGCCGAGGAGAGGGAAGCCAAAGAAGCGTACGTCCCTTACATCATGTACCATCTCTCTGTTCCTCCGCGTAGTATCAAGCTCGGCAAAAGGGTCAATCCCAGTTTACATACAGGCTGGACATCACACAATCCAAGCTCAAAGTGTTATATGAGAAACAAGGTCGTTCTCGACAATTCACCTCTCAAGCTGAACGTGATAAATACCTCAAAGATGAGATCAAAGCTTTGAAAACGTACGAAAAGGCTCAACAACAACGAATCGACGATCTCAATCGGGATGTCGAAGGTGCGAAAAGTCAACTCGAGGAAATCGTCACTCGATCAAGGGAACAAACTCAAGGCGAGGAAGCTAGAAGAGAATCTCTTCGCCAAATGGGTGAAGAAGTGTCGCAATTGAAGAAAAAGGTCGATGCGATGCAGGAAGAACGAAAGTGGGTCATCTCATGAGCATGCGTCTTGCTGGCCCTCTCCTGCTTTCTTCATCCTTCACTCATAGTCTCTCAACCAGTCGTGTTCTCTGCTCAATTGAGTGCTTTCCTTCCGAGTTCCCTGCTTGACTGAAATTTTCCAATATAGAAGCGGAGTTGACGAATCAGAAATCTCTGGAGAGAAGATGCCAGATTGAGTCATAACGTCTCCAACGCAAAGGGAGAGATGGAAACGGCCGAACGAACTCTTCATGGGATGATGGACAAAGATACCAACAACGGCTTAAGATCTGTCAAACGGATCGCAAGACAACTCAACCTCAACGGTGTATATGGAGCGCTGTATGAGTTGTTCGAGGTATCTGATCGGTACAAGACCGCTGTCGAGGTGACGGCAAGCAATAGGTCAGCTTTCTCAGCCCGCAACGTTTGAGCTGACGTGAACAGCTTGTTCCATGTGGTCGTAGATAATGACGATACCGCCAGTAAGATATTGGACGTGATGAATAAAGAGAAAAGTGGAAGAGTCACTTTTATGCCCTTGAATAGGTTGAAGAGCGTCGCTGTGAATTATCCAAAGGCCAATGATGCGCTACCAATGATTCAGAAGCTCAAGTTTGATCGAGCGTACATTATGGCTTTTGAGCAGGTCAGTGATACGTCTTCATCTGTCATACCCTATTTCTACGCCTTGACCTCGCATTGTCCCTGCTCAGCACCATTGCCTTTGATACAGCAATCGCTCCCTATCTCCTTCCAAGTTCCGACTCCTCATCGCTGGTCTATCGTCCAGTTTGTGATCTCACAGAGGTCGTTTTGAAGAAGGCGAGATTGGTGACCAATGAACAACGAGTTACACCAATTGCTCACTCCCAGGTCTTTGGCCGTACGATCATCTGTGAAGATCTCGCTACCGCCGCCCAATACACACGAAGTCACGGTCTGAATGCCGTCACTGTCGAAGGTGATCGTGTAGATCGCAAAGGTTCTCTCACAGGTGGTTATCACGACGTCCGTCGATCTCGTCTAGACGCCGTCAAAGCAGTCAAAAAGTGGAGGGAGACATACGAAACTGATTCTACCCGACATGCCGAGATCAAAAGTAATATCACTCAATATGAACAACAGATTTCCCAAGCTATGGGTCAAATACAAGTCATCGAGGCTAAACGTAAACAAATACTCGATCAACGTGCTCTTATCAGCGCTCAGGCCGGATGGAGTAATAGAGATGAAGAACAAGTCAGAAGACGTGTGTCGAAACTTGAAGCATCTGTAGGAGAAGCAGAGTCAGAATTGAGAGATACCAGAGAAAAGATAGGGTCTTACGAGGCTGAATTGAAAGTTCCAATGACACAACAACTTTCTTCGGAGGAGAAGAAAGCTTTGGAAAGATTGACAAAAGATGCAGAGAAACAGAAACAAACTTTAGTTACTGCTTCTCAGGCAAGAGTTAAGGTGAGTTCGTGATGTTTGTGCTGAAGCTGACAAGATAGGCATCTTCTGAAAGAAGTAAATTGGAAGTTGAATTATCTGAGAGTTTAAGGAGGAGGAGAGAAGAGTTGAGGAGGAAATTAGATGATTTGGAAGGTGATGCAGGTGCAGGAGTTTTGCAAGTTGGTGAAGTTGAATTGAGAAATTCGGAACTTCGACAATTGATCAGGTCCATTGAACAATTGTCAGATCAAGTGAACGGTGCGTTTCTGGAGGTTCCTTCTTAACTTGTGCCTACAGGCAACCCAGTCTTTTTCTAATCCCTTCTTTCTCCGATTTTACTCTATTTCCATGGAATCTTCCATCTTGTGACGTCTGTCATTCTGATCATTTTTCCTTCCCCTATGATCCCAGCAGTTGAGAACTCCGATTTTGGTCTCTCATCAGGTGACGATATGATAATACTTGGATTGATTTGAACTCCGATTATGTTAGGAATTTTCTGACGTAATCTAGAGAGCGAACGTAAAGTGGAAGAATACACCAACGAGATTTCTGAGCTATCTACCAAATTGGACGAAGCTCAAACCGAACAAGCAGAAAACACCCGTGCCATTATCCGAGTCCAAAAGAACTCCGAAAGGTATCTAACCAAAAGACAAACCCTCATCACACGTCGAGACGAATGTACGAATTCCATCCGTGATCTAGGTGTATTACCAGATGAAGCATATACGAAATATACCGATACGAGACCTGATAAACTTGTTAAGAAATTACATAAAGTTAATGAAAGTTTAAAGAAATACGCTCATGTGAACAAAAAAGCATTTGAACAATATGCTAATTTCGTGAAACAAAGGGACGAATATTTGAAAAGAAGAGATGAATTGGATGCGGATGCAACTAGGATAGAAGAGTTGATAGAGACTTTAGATCAAAGGAAAGATGAAGCTATTGAAAGGACTTTTAAACAAGTATCTAAATATTTCGAAGAGGTTTTTGAAGTTCTTGTACCGGCTGGAAAAGGGAGGTTGGTTATGCAAAAGAGAATTGCTGGGTATGTTGTGAGTGAAAAGTTTTCTCGCGATCGTCTATGTCTTTGTGGACTCTTCATGTCATCTCAGTGTCTATGGACTCTTCATTCTATCTCAGTCTCTATGGACCTTGTGTCATTCGTTGTGGGAGTTGTCGAGATTGAAGTCGATGATTTGATACTTTGGCTTGTTGGTCATTTGGGCGTATCGGCAAAACTTAGAAATGCCATGAGTGATCAAGCACCGATGTAGATGTGTCAAGGGCGATTGAGGTGTCGGGAAGAGGTAGCTTGTGAGATGGCAGGATAGCTGATGGGTAGGACGAGGAAACTGAAGAGACACCACTTGCGGAAAGAGGAAAGAGTGAGATTGATAATTATTCTGGGGTGTCTATCAAAGTGAGTCATGTTATCCCCCTCCCCCATCTTGCCATCTCTGTCAACACGAATGACTTCAACGGACTTGATCACGGATCATTCTTTCCCTACCGCACTCTCTAATCGAGAACGTCTTCCAACTTCCCACAATCTGGCAATCCCTCCCAGACAAACGCAATCGATGCGGCTGGCTCTTTCCTTGACTCGTGACTATGTCGTATCGTAGACTTGGAGATGTCTCCCATCTTTGGACCTTTTTCTGTTATTCTTACTTTCACCAAGATCTCCCAACATGGTCTCCACTTCCCAAACCCTATAACATGCTCATCTCAGGTCTCATTCAACTCGAAAGACGACGAAGGTCAAAGAATCCAACAACTTTCCGGGGGTCAAAAATCTCTAGTGGCACTAGCGACAGTCTTCGCCATTCAGAAATGTGATCCTGCCCCTTTTTACCTTTTCGACGAAATCGATGCCAACCTCGACGCTCAATATAGGACAGCAGTGGCAGGTATGATCCATTCTTTGAGTGAAGGAGCTCAGTTCATAACGACTACTTTCAAACCTGAACTCTTGGCAGAGGCTGATAAATTCTACGGAGTGTTTTTCGATAAACAAAAAGTTAGTAGTATAAAGACTATCGAGAAGGAAGATGCGTATAGGTTTTTGGAGAATGCTGCGCAGGTCGTGTAGGTTGGGATGTGTCATTTTAGGTTCACATCTGTTGGAATTTTGGTTGAGTGGGTGTTTGGTATATGCCTCAAAACCTTGGTATATGAATTAAGAGGCTTTGGATTGATTGGCAAGATACACTTCGGAGGAAGGAGAGATGAGATTGGGTGACAGAGAAACGTAATTGGGCGAAAGCAAGATGGTTATTCAGAATGAAGATGGGTGTGTGGGCGAGAAACTGGGCTTCGAGTTGAGGGGGAAGGGGTGAGAGGTTTGACAGTATCAGATATCCATCGAAGGATAAGACCATTGGAAGAAAAGGGGAAGATTCCTCATGAGGGATGAAAATGAGGAGGAGACGATTCGATGACGAGATCAATATCAAAAAAAAAAAAAAGGTTTGTCATTGTTGTATAGGTACAAGTACATCTCTGGGGTATATATTTCATGCAAATCAAAATCAAAATCAAATCTCTTCTTTCATCTCTTCATCCACTTCACCATCTCCATCTACCTCCCCTTCCCCTCCACCGACGGGAATAGCACTCTCATCGACCATACGTCCATGACTTTTCTGAAAGAGAGATTGTTGTAACGCTAATAATTCTTCTGGTGACATTCCGTGTGTATCTGGAGGTTTACGTATACGTTCCTATTATGTCAATTATCTTCTCTCTTTTATACTATGCTCTTGATATTATCTTTCCTCTTTTATACTCTGCTCTTGATATTATCTTTCCTCCTTTATACTCTCTTCATGATATAAGAAAAGCCGAATGATAAGGGATGGATAAAAAAACTATATCAACTGGTTCGTTCGTCAAGTACCTCCACAGCAACTCTCTCCGAACTTTTCCCTCGCTCATCGTCGACTCTCAGCTAAATTCGATATCGGAAGGTTGTTTGAATCTTGATTGAATTTCGAATGGGAATACTGGGGATCTTCAAGAGTGGAATATGACTAACGAGGAAAATTAAAAGCGGTATTTGTGATCCAGGGATAGCAAGTGAGGGGGAAGTGGGGAGGGGATAGCAAGTGAGGGTGAAGTGGGGAGGGGATAGCAAATGAGGGGGTGAGTGAAGGGGAAGGAGGAAGGGGACAGCAGGGAAAGAAGGAAAGGAGGTTGAGGAGAACGATACATAAATGGTGAGAAGGGAAAACGTTCGGGAAAGTTGAGAAGAAAAAAAAAAAGGGACAAACCTTTGCACTCTTTTTAAACTCTTCATTACTCTCTTCAACATCAATTATGAACTCTTCAAACCCTAACATTTTCAAAGCTTGTATAACATGTTCAGGAGATATTGTTTTTTTATTTGATAATTCACATTTCTCATTTGCTGTGGAAGAGAGAAGATGTATCCATTCTGATATCAGCGTCAAACTCACTTTCTCCTAGTTTTTTTCACACTCGTTTCTTTCCATCAATTCTTCAGGATGGTTTTATCTTCCTTATTTAACTCATCCAATCTTCTTCCTCTTGGGTTTGTACACTCGTTCTTCTCATCAAATCATCACGATGGTTTTGTCCTTGTACTCAACCCGACAAATCTTACTTTCTCCTTGGTGTTCATAGTCACAGAGCGAAGGTGGTAAGACATGAAGTTGATCGATATATTTCATTCGTTGTATACTTTGTGACCTAGTGAAAAGGAGATGATTCTTATAAAGTTCGAAGTGTGTTCTGGAAGGAAGTTTTGAGCGTAGTGTGAAAGATGAACGATGGATAATGTTGATTAAAAAAAGAAAAATGAGACTGACCAACACAACATTCAACAATCAAATCTCTAGCTTCTTTCGTGCATGTCATATCTTTCGGTAATAATTCTAATATCAGTGAGCTTGACTAAAGCATTGAATCAATATGAAGAGAGTTATCTCTCAAGCTATGACATTTCCAACGTCCCATCAGCATGCAGGAGGGGTGTTAGGACTTAGGAAAAGGGGAGAAAGACGAGACTTACCTCCGATCAATTTGAACACGGTAGCTTTTGGTAATCCAACTTCATCTTCTTCTTTGTCTGACATCGGTTCTTCGTTGAGGTTGTTGAAGGATCAAGTGTCAAGTGTTGAGGTAAGATGGGAGGGAAAGAAGTAATTTATGGGTGGAAAGGGAAAGTATGTAGAAACATGTTGGTCCGATCGTCGGGAAATTCAAACTGCAACTTGCTTCAACTTTGTTCTTCTCTTCACTTTTAACTCTCTCACTTGGAACGTTTTACTTTGCCAAGCGCAACACTAACTGCTGGGGAATATCAGGAAGAAGACATAGTAGTTCTAAGTGACGGAGGTATAAGACAAGATCAAGTGAGCGCCCAAGAACAATGGCAAACTCCACAGTCAGAGGAGCACTCTCGATACATGGTTCCAACCCTCAAGTATGTCTTCCGTTCACTTTTCACGCATCACCTCGTCCATCGATTATCTATCATAATGAGTGTAATGAGTAGGAAGAAAGAAAGGATAAAAAAGGGCAGTGCTTAAGAACAGTATTTGATAGAAAAAGTCATCCGAGCTAGAATATACGATTCTTTATATTGGAAAGAACATTGTTTCGCTCTTAATGGTTAGTCCGTCGCCTTTTCCATCTCTGACTATTTCAGCATTTCCTTTACCTTCCATAACACAGTCCAACGAAATACACGATCATGTGAAAGTATGACTGCTCAAACTGAGTAGAAGCAACTGATAAGTCATGAAGGGGACAATGGGAGGGATGGAAATATCAAGTCGAAGCCAGAGTTGACATCCAGCCGAATCAATCATAGATAAAGCTATAACACTCCATGCTATAGGAGGAACATACGATCGTCAAACTCCTACTCCGTTCATTTGTTTGACTTTGAAATTATTACAATTACAACCGGAGAAAGAAATCTTGATGGAATATTTATTGGCAGAGGAGTTCAAGTAAGTTGGGTCCATCACCTTATCTTCATTGCCTCTGATATATATCCTTTCTACAAGTATCATCTCCTCGGTTTTCAAACGGTTTCGACTACATGCTTGAGAATTAATCATATACTTTTTGAGAATCTTTCCCTCGATCAATGACTCAAATTTGTCGCCCCTTACCTCTTCTCTCCCCCAGCGATTCACAAGAGAATGGACGTGGACCGTGACCTGTATTAATACAGGAACGCCCTGATACAAACTTCACAAGAATCAGATCAGACTGACACATTTAGATACCTTCGAGCTCTAGCTGCTTTATACATACGTCTCACTTTCCGTTCCATGGATGTATACGAAATACTCGAACCTTTGATGAAAGATTATCGAAAATTACGTATCCGGCATCCTGGTGAGTGATTCCCATTGAACTTATTCAACTCGTTCTCTGTCTTCTATATCCCACATCCGACGGTCACCGAAAAGCTCATCTTGAGTATCGCAGCTGACGACTTGAGTAATTTTGGGATACTGGGGAGGGTAGTGAAGGCTGATTTCCAGGTGGTTATTCTCTGACTTACTTTGATCAATTTATAGATGATCTTTTGAAAGAAGAAAGAGTATGCGATATTATTCTTCCTCGTTTAACTCAACGAGAGGTTTTGGTAGAGACTGAAGGGTTGGCACCTAGGAAATCATTATTAGTTCGTTTTTTGTCCCCTTCTTCACTTGGTCTTCTTATTCCATTTGCATCATATACATTTCGTTATCATTCCCTTTTCCTGCCACAGTCTCAGACTCAGGATGACACACAAACCGCTTTATAACTTTCCACTCAGTGTTTTGTACTAAAGAAACACGCACGTTTTGGTCAATGAAACTAGTAGTAAGGACTAGCGATTATGATGGTTGACAATTGGAAATGGCTCTAGTGATGGGCTGATGAGTAGGACACGGACATACCTGAAATCGATACGAAATCAGAAAATGAAGAAATCAATCCACGAAAACGTCCAAGGATGTCATCAAGAACACCTTCACGTACCCCTGATTCTGATTCGGAATCAGAAGACAGGTCAGTTAGCGTTTTCTTTTTTCTCATGTCATCTTGTTTTTCTTTCTCCGCCCTTCCTCAAACAAATGTATCAGATCGCTCTGAACTGTTAAAAGTCTCATAACTCTTCAAACCTTCAAAACTCTCAAAACTCCTCAAACTCTCAAAACTCTTCGAACTCTTAAAACTCTTGAAATCTTCAAAACTCTTAAAACTCTCCAAACCTTCAAAACTCTTACAACTCATAAAATGTTCATCTATCCTAAAACTCTTAAACTCCTCAGCACTCTTAAAAACTCTTCGAACCTTGAGAACTCTCAAAAGAATGAAAGAAACAAGAGAACAACGAGAACACAGTGAGAAGAAACGGAAAGAGAAGAAAGAAGAAAGAGAGGAGTTTCTAGAGTTGAACAAAACTGACCAAAAAAGGTATATATCACGTTCTCCATCTATATCAAGTAAAAACAGATACATATCACGTTCCCCTTCAATCAGTGAAAATGGGATAGAAGGTGATATGAGGTATGTTTCACGTAGTCCTAGTATATCACCGGATAGGTTGTTGGGAGATGGGGATGGGATAGAGGGGGATGTTTGAGTAAAGCATATTTTGCAATATGTTTTTGTATCTATGAATTTTAACGAAACGTTCATATTGTATGAACTTTTTTTCATATATTTCACACCTGTAACTTACTTGTACTGTACGAGTGGAGTACGAGTACTGTACGATCTAATTTCTCTCTGGAATACTACAGTGCTGCACGGTGAAGTACACCACATGGGTTGAAGAGCGAGGGGAAGAGTATCACTTTACGGACAAATGTGTAGATTTACAATCTCCAAAACTTCATCTCTATACATAGAGTATACAGCACAGGAAATTATTAAACCTTTCCAACGACATGACAAAATTATCGGCAGGAAAGGATAGATCAACATGATGATAGAAAAGCGCATGATCATATCAACCAAGACCTCTCATTTTGTACCCAAAAATGCAACCAATCAACAAATCAACAAGCCATCCCAAATCTCAAATCTCAAATCTCAAATCTCAAACATCAACTTCAAAAGTTTCATGAGGATTCATCATACAGCATGCAGATAAATAATTGAACTTGGACCAACGAAGATATTTTATAATTTCTCATAACGATTTCGTGGATCGTGGACTGAACCTATAACAAAATATATAATAATCACCTATTCATCTTCCCTTCCAATTCTTCAACTTTACTTTCCAACTTTCCAGTCTGTCCATCGATCGTATTCAAAGCTCTTAAATGTGCTCCTAGAATAGCGGATAATTGATCTATGGGATCTTCCGTTTTATCACCTTCTCCAACGGTAGGAGTTGATGATAAGTTGTTGACTTGTTGTATCATGTTCGTTAAAGATAGAGATAAATCGTCTAATTGTTTTGTTAAATCTTCTGCTAGTGCGTATCTGGTTGTCAGGGGGTTTCTCCGTCATATACATTTTCAGAATTCTAGGGAAGAATACTTTGAATCTGGAGACTGAGTGAGGTGTGGGGATACGTGAATTGGTCATGGTGGGATTGGAAGGGTTATGAGGGGGATAGAAGGAGGTTTCAGATAATATGTAAAGGCGAAGATAGTAGTTTGGACCATGTGATGATGGTGATGATTGGGTCGTCAAGACCATGTAGGTTGTTAAGAGAAAGTAGGATGGAGCGAGATTTTTGAATTTTTGACGTTTTCCTTTTTCTTCCCCAATTGTGACGGAAAAGAAATCAAAAACGGATAATAAGATGGGAGATCAATGAAAACATCAAACGAAGTCGTCCTGGGACACAGAGATGATATGTAGAGTGAAGAGGTGGATGGTAGACGGCAACTCTGTGGAAAGAACAGACACCACGATCAGGTGTGAGGTAAAAAGTCGAATAGTAAACGGAGACTCAGTGAGAAGGACAGGAAAAGTAGTAACAATACGACACAGGCTAGACACAGTGAAAAACCGAAATGACTCACGATTTCTCCCTCTCTTTATCAGCCGGTAACTTCCCTACCAAAGGTCGAGTAGTATCACTCATAAACACTTGCATCTCCCTTTCGTAATGCGTCATAGCGGCATCCAACTCTTTTTGTTGGGATTCAATCACGTCTAGCATTTTATCCACGCTAGCTTGGGTTTGTTGAGCTTCGAGGGTTTGACGATGGAGGGTTGTTATCTGGAATTCAGCCTCACACAGCATATCAAGTGTCCAATTTGCATAGTAGCTCTTCAAATGCTCTCATAGTTCAGTAGGTACCCGCCCGACCGGGTGATGATGGGTTAGGAGGGAAGGGGGAAGGTACTATAAGCAGGCTATGAGTCACTAAGTAGAGAAAAGAGACGAGGAGCGTGTTTGGGCCATCCGGGAATGAGTGCAGGAGAAGAAGGGGGTAGATGAGCACGTATGGCTGAGAGATTAGAAGTAAGGGTGGAGGATGAAGAGAGTATAGGAGGGGGGAGGATGAGGAGAGGAAAGAGGAGGAATAATAAAGATGCAATAAACACCACCCACCTGAGCTCCATTCTTCACCAACACCCTATCCCATTCTTTTACCTCACCAGCTTGTCTCTCAACTTCTTTCACCTGTATATCCAAATCTTTATTCCAAGCATCTACTATATCCTCTAATGTTTTTACCTCTTAACAATTTCGGCGCCGGTTCTGAGACTGTCACTCCTGCTCCAACTCCCCCAGCCCCACCAGCCCCACCAACCCCACCTGGTTGTCCCACTCGTTGTTGCCGGGGTGACTTCCGTAGCTCCAACTGAGCTGCGATCGCAGTGTCGTACCCGACGAACACCCGTGTGGCGTCTTTTCCGCCGGTTTCCCGAACAGACTCGACCCGCTCCGCCAATCCAGAAACAAACCCGTGCCGCCCGTCCGGCAGGTTTTTCTCCAGTTGCGGTCCCAGATGCTGGTGCTGCTGCCGCCGCCGGAGCACCAAAGTTGAAGCCTGATTTCTGTACCTCAGCCGGCTTTTCCTTCGCCACATCACCAAAATTGAACACAGTGCTGGGTTTGTCTCCGATCGTGGGCGCGCCAGCTAGGTTTGCAAAGCTGAATCCGGTCTTGGGAGCTTCGGCGTTGGCCGTCTTTTCCGCACTACCCGATGAAGCAGTAGAGGTGTTTGTACCTCCTAGACCGAAAGAGAAACTCCCCGCTTTGGGAGCTTCAGTCTGTTCCACCGGTTTTTGTCCTAGATTCGCAAAGAGTCCAGGTGCTCCCGCTGTCGCTGCCCCAGTAATGGGAGCAGTAGCGGCTGCAGGGGGACCAGCTGTAGGTATGGTACCATTTTGCGTGGAAGTGTCGGCAGGTTTCGAAAACGAGAATAAGCTACTCTCTGCGGGTTTGTCAGTTGCTGTAGAGGTAGAAGCAGTATTACCGAAGGAAAACAAACTTGATGGAGGAGCAGCAGGGGTTGTAGAACCGAACATCGTCCCTGTGGAAGTTGGAGCAGGAGCAGCAGCAGGGGTAGTAGGAACAGCGGGCTGGTTTGAATCCGTTTTGTTTCCAAACGAAAAACCACCAGATGAGCCAAAAAGATTTGTCGTCGGGCCTGCTTTATTCTCTACAGGGGCGGAGAATCCGAAAGAATTTGTAGCTTGAGTGGGAGCAGGATTGGTATTATTCAATCCGAATGATGTGGTGGGAGGAGGAGCTGCAGGCGTTGTAGTTGTAGTCGCACCAAAAGAAAATGGGGATTTCACTGGTGTTGTAGGGTTCTGATTTGTCGTGTTTGATGAAAGTTGTCCAAATCCTCCAAAACCCCCGCTTGTCGTATTGGTGTTGGAAGTTGTGGCCGGTGCTCCAAGTGTGGTATTAGAGCTTGAAGCTCCAAAAGTTGTGTTGGTGTTGGGGGCGGGAGCGTTGGACGTGTTGAAAGAGAAAGAGGATGGAGTGGTCGATGTGTTTCCAAATAGGCTGGAAGTCGGTTGTGTAGTAGGATTACCGAACATATTTCCAGCAGCGTTGTTCGTAGAGGGAGCAGCAGTGGTGGTAGAGCCAAAAGGATTGGTGTTTGTGGTCGTATTGGCTGTAGCACCGAATGTTGGGGTGGAGGAGGAACCAAAAGAGAATGGAGAATCTGACATTAACATAGAAGCGCGGACATGGGGGCAGGGGCGTACTGTTATTGTTGTTTTGACCGAATCCTGAGAAACCAGCTGATTGTCAGTGTCACATTACCATTCATCAGAGGTCAGGTGAGTGCAGACACTCACACATCTTGTCCTGAGAATGCTCTGTTGAAGCCTTTCGAGGTGTAGATAGTTAAAGTTGATGTCTATACAGTAAGTTAGGTCAGTTGAAAGTTGGTACGGGTGAGAGAGCTTTGTGACTGTGAATGCCACGTAATGTCAAGTTGGTAGGCGATTGACTTTCGACGTGGAAGTGCATTTCCGTGGTGGTGACAACGACGACGACGATGGTTAGATCAACTACTATATTCAGAGTGAGCGACGCTTTACCGCTAGCTGCAAGTGTGGATGATGAGAGTGTGAGTGTTCTCACATGCTTCACTGGCTCTCTTTTCATACCACGAAGAGCTTGATCGAGGTGACTTCCCATCTATCACTGTGCTAAGCCAAGGCTGCAGACACTCCCCCACTGACTAGGCTTGGGGGTAGTATGAGTGTAGGACTAGGAGGACTCGATCATGATGGGAAATATGACGGAGAGCTAATGATAGACGGAGAAAGCTTTGATAGAATACAAACAACAATCAAAATTAGTGTTCAGAAGGTTGAACGCTAATTCTGAACCTGCTTGTTCTATCGAGAGTGGTCAATATACATTACAGTGGGTTGTTCTTTTCTCTCAATCAACCACCCTACCATGAAGACTAACCTCTCCCCTCATCCTCCATCCTCTATCCTCTGGCATATCTCCTCAACAAGCCTACTTACGGGATAAGGATAGCTGACTGTGGAACTCATGTGACGGGAAGGTCAAGGGGCAGGAGGGGGAGAGGGAAGGGGAAGGGGAAGTGTCTGGTGATATGCAAGGTGGGATAAAGAAGAAAGGAAAAAGAATGAGGAGGAGAGGGAACCTTAACGAAAAGCTAACACATCAGTTACCTCATCGTAGGACCCGTCATCTATATGTGTATATGTGACGCTTCATATCCTCGGAAATTAGCTTTTTCATATCTTGACGAATTGAGTAAAGAATTCCAAAGAAGTTATGAAGGAAAGATTGAGAGTGTTACTAGACCTTATGCTTTTATGGGGTTTGGTGAGTTTTTTCTCTCTCCTTCCCATCTTTTCCTTACTATAACTTTTCTCCCTCTCTCTCTCTCTCCTTCCTTGATTGATACATTGTAATTATAACATTTCCGCTGTTGAAGTAAGAATCAATTTGTGAAGATACTAATCTCAGATACGTTCATTTCCAAAACCACAAGACTTTATAGAGATTCACGTACTTTAACACAAGGTACCACAGCTCCACCTTCAGGTCCAAGTCCACATTTGGATCAATTGAATGATAATTTGAAAGATGTGACTAGGATCATGACTAAGAATATGGAAGATTTATTATGGCGTGGGGATAGTTTAGATCGTGAGTTTTTACCCCCCTCTGCTTTAATGTCTTTCTATTGAATAAACCTATTCATCGCTTCGTCGTATTGGTTTTTATTTCTGAAATATCATAAACTTCCTCACTCATTCCATCTGGTATCCTCGAAAAAAAAAACCAATTTGGGCCCCCCCCCCCCCCCCCCCCCTCTCTTTTTATAGTCTTGGCGGACATAATTGTCTTTTTCACATTAGACGACTGTCCAGTCTATCGCAAATGTTACGACTCTTCCTTTCTTTTTGTGAAATTGATAGAATGTTGGAGATTGTCTTGGTCTTGGCAATGATATGTTCTACGGAGGAAGGGATGGGGGTGGGGGGGACAACACAAGTGGTTGGTTATATTGACAAAAAAAGGAATGTCTTCCCTCTCCACTTCCCTTCGTGCCGAATCTGCCAAATATCGAAAAGCAGCCAGACAAATCAATATCGACGCATTATTACGGAAATGGGCTCCTGTAGGTGGTATAGGTTTATTCTTTATTGTATTCATATGGTGGAGGTTTTTCTGAGGTTCGAGTGAATTGAAACAATCTTTATTCTTCTTTTCACTCCCACGGCGTTGGGCGATTGAGTTTTTCGAAAGGTTCAGTGAAAGTGAATTCACTACAACCTTTAAAATGACATGCATGATCATTATGATATCTCCCATACAACATCCAACACTACCACTCTTGTTCCTTTTTCGTTCATCAGTAATCCCAGTCTTGTTTCATTCCTTCAAAAGTAACCCTTTCAAACCTTTCAACCCTCTGATCGAATTAAACATCTCCATGAAAATAAGTCTGACTCCTCCCCTTCCTCGTCTCCATCTTCTAAATACCAAAACACCCATTACAACAATTCCAAAGATACTTAAATCCAACATCATTCTTCTCAACATACGCATTAATATCCAAATCACCCAATTTTTCTTACCCACTTTCAAATCCACTCTTACCCCTCTATCCACACTTCTGACGTCAACCCTATTCAGAGTATCTGCAGAAAGAGAAGGTATAGGAGTAAGTCGTCTAGCCTTAGATAAAATATGTTCATCTTCTTCTATCTGATCATCTTCTAATTCTTTTTCTTCAGAAGTTAACATTCCCCACCAAGTCCTTTTAGTTCTAATCCTTATTAAAGCACTTTGAGTACGTTCGAGGTTATTCAGACGTTCATGTAATGCAGTGAGGGAAGTTTGGATTTGTTGTAATACTGATGGAAGACTTAATGGGAGCAGAGCTGGAGTATCTGTTCCGAATCTTGCTTCTGTGTGTTATCGTACCTGGATTAATGTGGATGGGTGGCATGGAAAGTAACTTCATAGGCGCTTAGTGTTTGGAGGTGGGAAAGTTGTATGACCAGGTGAAGAAGTGTATGGGTGTGGGTAGGGATATGAAGAGGTTTGATGGATACCTAAAATTGATGGGGTTTGTGGTAATGTTTCGTGGTCAGGTTGAATTTGAGGATGAGAATAAGGATGAGAATGTGGTTGGGGTTGAGTATGAGTATGAGTATGGGAATGAGGATGAGGGTGAGGATACGATTGTGTTGCAAGATGAGGATGTGATTGTGATTGGGGATGAAAAGGTTGATGAGAATGTGATTGGTTCGGATAAGGTGAATAAGAATGTATTTGTCTACGTAGATTATGTGAAATCGAAAGTGATGGGGAATATCTTTCACCATGGTTGAATGGTAAAGATCGAGTGGGAGAAAGTAAAGATTTATGTGAGGTAGAATCGATTAATGATTTATGTGAAGGAGTTAAAGAAGAAGGAGGGATGAACGTATTCGATACATCCGGTACTGGGAGGGTATGATCAGGTGGAGGGTATTGTGAATCATCGACTTGAAGCATAGTGGTTTGGTTCTGTGAGTTTATTTGTTGTTGAGGGCCGTTCCTTGACTGAGCCATAAGGTGGGGGTCATTGCCACTTGGCTGAACGATGGGGCGAGAACCGTTATCCCTCGCCTTACCATTATGGCGAGAATCATCATGCCTTGGTTGGCCAATGGGGCGAGATTCATTATCCCTTGATTGGTCGATAGGGCGAGATTCATTATCCCTTGATTGGTCGATAGGATGAGTCATTGGGAGAGATTGAGTAAGAGGTAGTTCATGGGAAGGATGAGAATCCAAAGAAGCTTGAGAAGAATGATAAGATGATGTGGAAGATGCAGGTGAAGCAGGAGGGAAGAAAGATTCTAATTGAGCTATATGAGGATCTACCGTAGGTCCAGGATGTTTCTTCAGAATCTTTGATTAGATTTAAACTCCTTCAATTCACTCGTGTAAACGGGAAACCCACCTTGAGTAAGGAAGCCACATAAAGTCGTTTAGCTTCTATTTTATCCAAACCTTTTTGTTTATTCCAAGAGTCCCTACGTATCAGCACTCGAAGATTATCGTAGAATGTTCATCCTATTCCGATAACACTCTTCTCTATCATATCATAACATATCTGTTCGTCCACTTGCGGGGATCACAACATATATAACAAGGATCCACGTAGTTCGGAAGATGGATCACCCTTGGCTTGGAAAAGTCACAATAGGTTTGGACGGAACAACGGTGGGAGGAATATGTGGATATATAGTAGTGAGGACTTTATGACGGATGACAATGGCAGACTTGAGAGTGACAGAGGTGGATGATATCAGTGTAAAACTCACCACTTTGCTCTCCCTAATAAATCCAACATGCCAGGTCTTGAACCTTTCAAATCCCCTTCGGTGGCTTGTTTGTACAACGCGTATAACCCGAGTTTATCTTCGTAGGTGGTTTGTACAGGACCTGATTTTGGCAAACTATCTATCAGCTCTTGTCTTCTTTCACCCTATCTGTCTCTCCCCTCTCCCTTCCCAGTGGCGAGAAGCGATGATGAGACTGATGTTTGAGACTCGGATTGTCTTTGCGGAGTCACCCAGGGGGAAGGGGGGAGATAAGGTGAAGTGGTGAAGAACTGACGATTGTACTATATCTACCGCTCTGTTGAATTGTCTATATACTATCAGTTCTTGCTTTGTATAGTAGTAGAGACTTACGCGTCGATTTGAGCTTCCATATTGTAAGAAATATAAATGTTGTAGTGATGTGAAAGAGAAGAGTTGGGTGGAAAGTTTGGGACTTTTAGTCGGTTTCATTTCTTTCCATACTTTACTCTACTTTTCATAGGTAAGTCTCAACATCCTCATATGACTAGACTGATGAACAGAGTGTGGGGTTTGAGACTACATAGATTACTGTGATGCCATTCAGAGCACGTCTGAACCCTTCAAGTCTCACCCGTCGTCGACATGCTCGTCAATTATGGTCATCCAAACTATCCCCTTCGACCATATCCTCCTCCAGCTCAAAAGGGGTCAATGACTTCTCCCCTATCTTACCTCATACACATTCTAGACCTTACTCTTCCATCTTATCACCTATCACCTCTCTCCTCACTCCTCCACGTTCATCCCCTGAAACTCCCCGGGACCCCATAATCGACCTCCTCGACCAGATAACCTCTCAGAACATATCTTTAGCAGAAAATATCTATACCTCTCTTCTCTCATCCCCGATTCTTCCTGCTGACCTCACGGCTATACTCACATCTCTATCTATCATCCCGAATTTCGAAGCATTATCATTCTCACGTCGAATATACTCCGACATCTCAACCACTTTCCGTCAACCTATACTCTCTTCCCACAAAACAGCTTTCATACAACATCTACTGCTATGTCAACAACACACCGAAGCACTAGTATTAGCTGGAGAAGATCCCACAGCACCATGGACAAACATCTTACAAGCCTCAATAGGAACACCAGAATTCCCTAATGTGTTAGAGAAATTGAAAAGGAGTAGAATGTTAGAATTAGAAGAATATACTCTAGTCCTCAAACATTTAAGAATGACCATTCCTGAAGACGCAAAACAACAAATGAGAGATACGTTGAGAGAAATGGGGAAAAGAGGTTTGATATTAGATTCTGATGGACAAATAGAGGTTTTGAAATTACATATGATCTTCGGTGATTGGGATAGAGCTAGAGAGACTGTGGATTATTGGAGACATTATAAGTGGACTAATGGGATGAGAGAGGTGGCTTTGGAATTGGATTTTAGGGATCCTATGCGTTTTCAGGATGAAGTTGAGATTGCCCATGAAGCATCGGAGGAACACGAAGTTGCATCAGAAGAGAAACAGGATACGAGGATACGACGAGATGACGGGGATCTAGCTCGAACACCACTTCCTGATCAAGATAGGGATATACGCCCTACGGTCGAAGGCTTCGTCAAAGACAGTCCTGAGGGAATACAACGGATAACTTTATGGAGAAGAAGAGATACTACGTTGACTGTGATTCTTGCGGAATTGCGAAGTCAGGATCTACTCAAGATGAGACTGGAAGATATCATCGATATAGTCGAAAGTTCATCCCGGGCGAACGATATAGTGCCTACTTTATCTATGTGGGCTAGGATTATCTTTCATATAATCCCACTTAACCTCACCCTGGGAAAAGATATATATCATCATGTCGTTTCTCTCGGTCTTCACCCCTCAGCTTCTTTGGCGTTGACTGTCATTCGACCACTTTGTCTTTCCCGACCTCCCATGTTGGAAGAGGCATTGAAAATTCTACAGACTCTACCCGAGAGATCAGCTCCAAGTCTGTCTTTAGAGAAGATCTTTCAAGTTTTGTTATTCGCTTGTTCGAGGCTCGCTTTCCCTTTCCCCTCCACCTCCTCTGTTTCTTCACTTCCGCTCTCATCTCCATCCGATCCATCATCTTCCCTACCGACTACCTCAGATCCACCCAGCCAATTTGCAGCATTTCAACAACCAACACCCCAATCTCTCTCAACATCTCTATCCAGAAAGACTGCTTCCAACTCTGACAACACCAAATTTGCTATCTCCACCGCCCTACATCTCCTCAACCAAATGCATAACCTTTCCCTCTCCCTCCCACCTCAATCCCTCACATCAATCATAATACTCCTCATGTCATCTTCCCCTTCTCATCAAACCGCTTTCCAACTTTACTCACACTTCCGATCCCTTTCCCCGATCCCATTCAGCTATAAAGATTATACCGCCATTCTAACTTGTTTTCTCCGACTATCTCTACCTTCTTCCCCTTACGCACCCCCCGATTTATTCTTTCACTTAGTGAGGGATATGCGACAAGAAGGTTATAGACCAGGTTCAGAAATCTTGGCTTCTTTACTTCGCTCTTATGCTCTCTTAGCTAGACGACTTAGAAAATCACCTAAATATCTCTATCCCACATCTACTCTCTCTCACACTCAATCGTCTCAATCATCTTTCTTCCAATCTACAAAACCTAATATCTCAACTCTATCTAATCTCCAACATCCCTATGAGTCGATGAAGAAATCAGGAGACAATAGATCTCAAGAAAATACATTCAATGAAAAATTGGATAACCTATTAAAAGCAATAAACGAAGTTAACACTCTCATAAAACTTGATCCTAATATCGAACCTACCATCCCTCTCTTAAACTCCCTTCTTATCGCTTTTTCAAATGTAGGAGCATACGAGGAAGCATTATCAGTATGGGATAGTCTTTTATTACGTCGGCCTCATGAAGATCAAAATCGATTAGAAGATATTTATGGAACTAGCGTTTGTGCTGTTTTAGATACTTGCGGTTGGGCTGGGTTGAAGGTACGAGCTGAGAAAGTTTGGGGATGGGCTGGAAGATGGGGTGTGAGAGGTGAGAAAGAATGGGAAACTTGGGTTGAATGTTGGTGTAGGTTAGGGAAGTTTGAAGAGGCTATAAAGGCTGTGGTGGGGTTGAAGAGAAATACATCGTCGATAACGTCAATTTATGTCAATCATTCATCTCCAAAGTCTTTCACCACCTCTGCTTCTCCTTCCTCGACACCCAACACTTTGTCAATCGCATCACACTCCTTCGTTGCTCCATCGTCCCTCGAAAAAGATCCCCACCAAGTTCTTCAACCACATAGTCACATGCTTCATGAAGAGACGCCGAGGGATGAGTACGGACACCAGAACCCAGCTTTGGCACCCAAAATGAGGACCGACGACGAGCCGACGGAAGTAAAACCGACAAAAGAGATGATACGTATCTTGCTCAAGTTTAGCTGGCGTGATAGAAAAGCATATAGGGTAGTGCAGGAAAGAGTCAGGGTGGAATTCCCAGAATGGTGGGAGGAGCTTAAAGGTGTGGTGGGGCGATAGGTCTTTATGCTAGGTCATGTCTAAGTGTTCAAGTGACTCAGCGTGAGAACTGCACGAAGAACCGTAAACGCATAAGGGGACCAGTTTCGAAGGGCAGAAAGGATCCGGGGCGTAGTTGATGGTGAAGGGGAACGGATTTGGGAGAGGAAGCAGGATAGGGGTGAAGGTGTACCTCTCAAATGGAAATATGGAACGCTAGACCAGGGGTAGATAAAGAGGAGCTGAGAGAGACTTGGGAAGTCAGGATTGTTGAGGATCGGAACGGAGAGAAATGAGAGATCATCTGAACGTATATATCTGCATTGCTTTTCATTGATTGCCGTTTTCCCCCTTTCATCTGTATAACTGGGTTTGATCTGAATTCTTGAAGATATCTCGCTGAAGTGAGGGATGACGGAAGTGTTAAAACTTACAGTACCAGTCAGATCTATTCAATATTCCGCGCTGATCCTCTCTCTTTCCGACGCTCATCCTGTCTTTTTTCCCATCTCTTGTACCTCCTTCTCATATCATCTTTTATACTGATAATAACAGACCAAGTCTTCCTTTCTTTCACAAATCTCATACGTCCTTCCCCCCCCTTGAGAACGGTTTCGATCATTCAATCATATATTTTCCTCCCTAGAGAAAGATAAGCAAAACTGACCTGCTCAACAAGATCACATGTCATCCTTTCATTATCAATCCATACATAGGTCTGATACAACATGTTTCATCTTCGAATCTCTCACATATTCAGTAAGTCCGAAATTCTAGACCTCACGTATTCAAAATCACACATTCTTACGTGATCCCACCATCAGCTCCGATCGGATCTTCCCCTCATTTTCCGACTGGCGTTTTCCCCTGATACGAAGTCCGCTTGTATCACCAATTGATTTCCTTCCATCCTGAAAAAGTCCTGTACGATCACCGACGATGGATGAAACTACTTCTCTCACAAATGGATCAACATCTCCTTTCTTTCAACATATTGTAAGGGATGAAGGGATAATACATATGAGACTGGATATAAAGATATGTAAAGACATTTGACCCACTTGTTTCCATTTTCTTTCTAACAAACTTGACACCTTTTTTTTCAATTTTTATTCAACATTGACCTTGCACCAACATAAACACATTCAATCAAATAGAAAAAACTGCTCCTCTCATAATGTCACAAGCTAACTACTACGTCAAAACAGTGTTTGAAGAACCCCTCGAACCTATAGAAATAGATGGTATAACTCATTGGATCTCTGAACCTGCACAACAATCGTTCCAACGACAACAAACCGCTCCTACTTTTTTAGGAACCACAACAACTGAACGTCAATATTGGCTATCAAATAATCCTAGTAAAATATATCAACCGGGATGGGAAGCTACATATAGTTCTCAAGTTCAAACAAGTGATTATGATAATCAGGAAACCGGTTCATATAATGAACGGGAACAATCGACGTTTGAGGGTCGAAAAGATTTGACAAAGACAACCACCCAGACTATTACAAAGAAGAGTAAGAGACGTGTAAAGAGAGGTACTAAAGATGATAGGAGGAGTAAGAAAGAAGAAACTGTTGTGGAGGTTACGGAGATGAATGAGGAAGACTAATGAATTGAGTTCCTTGAACCCAGGACTCATACTTCTAGTAATGAGGTGTGGGAAGAGAATATACTTGAGTACAGATGAAAGATGTTATAGGAATGTGATGAGGAAGAGACACTTTTCACTTGTTCCAAGATTGTCATGAGTGTTACTGGTGAATAATTTACTAGACTTGCTAATCACGTCAGATAAATATCGATAATGATCATACAATTCAAATAGTAGAACAATTTACATCTCTAACATACCTGTACTATCTATTCCTTCTTCCCAACAATCTTTACCGACTCATGAGGTTCATTTCTCAATCACTCTGGAACCTCTCTTTGTTAGAGTCTTAGTCATTGGCTCACCTAAAGAAAAAGTCTCAAAACTTCTACCTGGTATATACCAAGGATCAATTTCATCCAAATGAAAAGGTCTTCTTTCTAAATCTTTAGCAGATTGACATAATTTTCCAAAAGCTTCTTCATCATCTTTCAAAGTGATATCAACTATCGTACCTGATAACAAACCTAAAGTTTCACGATCTTTATTGGTGAATGATCTCTTAGTTGTTTCGAATTTGTTCAAAATATCAGTTTGATATGATTGAGCTTTTGACCATTCTGGTAAATCAAATAATTTTTTGGCTTGTTTTGATTCAATGAAGTTTGTCATATCATTTGCTTTTGATTTAGATTTATCTGTATTAAGATCAAGATTATCAGAAGTAACATTTTGGTTTGTTGATTCCATACCTTGTGTTTGTGTTTGATGTTGAGTTGACTCATCATCTTGATCATCTTCTTCATTTTGATATTGTGAAAAAACTCGATGTAAAGTAACGGCATCACCTAAAAACCGATGTCGAAACAAAGCTTTATCAGTTTTAACTTTTGTTTGAGCTGTTCCACCCATGAAATTTGTAGATCTATCTGAATATGAAGATTTCGGAATAGGATCATATTTCATTGATTCTCCATATGCTCGAGTACAATCATTTATTTCTGCTTGAGTCAATCCACCAGGTAAATTAGTTTCTATCAAATCACCTAAAACACATGCAAAAGCTGATGCTTTGGTTCCTTTTGAACGTTGGTTTTTAATCCAAGTTTTCATTGTTTCTTCAACTCTGATTTGTGTTTTAGGTGAACAAGATGCTACCCAATCAGGAACCCAAATTTCATCTGTTTCAGCATCATCATCATCTTGTGTTACTTTCCCTACTCCAGTTTCACCATTTGTATTTATTGGCAAATTAGGAGATGTATTGGTATCGAAAGTTTCGGTCCGTGGAGAATTAGTGGGTACGCGATGATAAGGGATAGGAACGGGTACGGTGACTCCTTTAGACGCTAGTTGAGAAATTGGATGATAATTCGATACGGTAGCTACATCAATGGGAAATTCAGCTGGATTATCATCTTCCGATTCTGTCGCTACTGGTAGTTCAGGGAAAGAAACTTTTCTTTTGATTCTTGTGGGGGAAGATTTTGGTTGTTGATCGGTCCTAAGGGAGGATTTACAAGTTGTGGGGAAATCATCAACTTTTATATCTGACCCCAAGCTAGGAATGGTGATACCGGATAGCGAAGTATCATTTCGTTTCGGTCGATGAAGTATGACACTACCGTCAGAATTGGTTTCAAAAGGTATTGCAATTTTCCTTCGTACTCTCTTCTTACCACTTTCCACGGGAATGTCCGTATCAGATTGACCGTCGAGATTGCTCGTTGATGGAACAATCAAAGAAAAATCTTTCATCGATTGATCACCAGAAGTTCCACCATTGATAGATATTTCACCCGTCGGTAAAAACCCTGCGGTTGACGGTAAACTCCACTGAACCGATGTTCCACCTTTCGTTTTTTTCAGAATACCTTTCGGTGGGGAACCAGTATCATTAGTGGGAGATGTTGTACCTGAAGGTAGATTTCTAGGTGTGGTCTTGTCGTCATTGATGGAAGGAGGGACTGTAGTGGTTGAGGGTGAAGATATGGACGGTAAGGTGGACAAAGTAGGGATAGTACGAGTTGAACGTCTGGTACGTGAGCTACGTGTGGAGAAAAATGGTTGCTGAAGGAGATCAAGAGTGGGTGAAATCTCAATTTTACGTCGGGGAGTAACAGGCGCGGAGAAGACGGAAGGAGCGTAAGAAGATGGAATTGAGAAAAGGATAGAAGGGGAAGGGATGGTTAGTTTTTTAGTGGGAGTGGGTATGGTGGAAATGACAGTAGAAGCGGCTGTTGACATGATTTCTTGCTGAAGTTGGGTGGGTGTGATATCAGTTATGAGATGATCAGAAACAGGAATGGAGAATGTGTCGTGATTTGATATCGAGGTCGTGGAAGGGTTGTATCGGGTAGGAAAAATGTGATATCAAGATGAAGATTGAAGACGGGAGTGAGGGCGGGAAGGAAGCATCGA